GATTAAGATCAAATTTAGTTTACAGTTGCCAAATGAGTCATAATCATAAGTGGGAAGCTAGTATATAGAAAACGTGCTTGGAGTTCTGCAGACTATCGAATAGCGTGGATAAGAATTGTAATAATAATGACAATAGTTACTCAGGTACGAGTACGGGTGGTATATTCGGAAGTCATGCCTCGCAGTTAATAGATAAAATCCTTTCAAAGTAAATATAAACTTACAATTTACTATAGTTCGCGTTCAAGTGCAGAGCTTTAAACCAATGAAATTTATTTTCTTTGAGATTATCGTTGACCCTTTCGTTGACCACGGAGGCCATAACCTCGGAGGCACTTATAACAAACAAACACAGAGAACTGCATCAATGGGCTAAATATAGCTCACCAATACCGCAGGAATACGCAACGGTATATGGTTCATGTTTACAGCAAAGCCAACACAGGAAATTAGGAAGAACATAATTTAAGAAGGGATTAACAAAATTTGAACACAAAATGAACAAGTATTTAGATGCTGCAGACGAGAAAGAAATGTGTTATATCGATAGTTTTTGTGCTTTCTAGTATTTAACGCTTAAATGGAACTCTCTGTTGCTATAGCAATTTTAGAATTTTTTAAAGATATTTAAGAACGTTTACAACTACCTTTCATACATTCTTAATTGCAGCTTGTTTTTCAAAGAATATATGCTATGTGGTAATCATTCCTTGTTTTTAGTTACTGGCTTCCAGTCGAAATTAAATTACGCTTATGGATGTTAATAGAGAGCGTACGATTTTTAGCTACAAAGTTCCGGAATAATGGAGAAATAGGTAAGTGCACGCTTAAGCTTCTGTAGCGGGAACTGATCTAGACATTCGCGAACGACCGATCCGAAATCGCTGTGAAAGACCGTTCAGAATACTATCGATAAAACAGAAAGAGCTTATTTAGAGAAACAGAAATCTGTGAAGAAAAACACTATTTACTGTGAAGTTAGTGACGGAGTAAATCAACACTTAAAGGCCAGATGACCTAGGTCTGTGGACATCATCCAACTTCACGTACGATATTTAAAAAGTGCCATTACTGTCAATGAACAGTACCACTTGCTGTGGAATTGTCAAGAAAAACGTTTGTATTGTTAAGACTTACATAAATTACTTTGCGTAGGACAATGAAAAAACCAGTTTTATTAAACAGTATATTCTCGCAGCAATAGATAACGGAAAAAGATTATTTCAACAGTTCTCAACATACAGGAGGTAAAGTCCCGAGCGTATGGCTAATAAAGTTATATCTGCTAAGTTGACTACTATCATCTCGTGAGTACTATCATAAGTATGATGGCCATAAAAAAATTCATGCTTCTCAAAGTTTACATAGTTAACTTTAAAATTTTTCCATATTTGTAATGATAAAGTTTTGTAATTATTTTACAACAATGCCACTTGATCGCTTTTTTTTAAGATTGCCTGAGAAATACTGTGTGAAATCACTAGAAATACTAGAAATCACGAGAAATACTAATTTCGAGCTTCTCGTATTAGGCATCGTTTTCCGAAAGCTATTTTCGTACAAAAAGGTCCGCTTTGCCAATTTGCTTTACTAACCTGCGCCTTTTTTCTGTTTCTAATATTTCGTACTGCCATATTTTGGTGTGGGCCCGGAATTTCATGCAATGCATTGACCCTTCTGTATACAATACGATAAGAAGGGAAGTAAACTGTGTATTACGTTATGGCGGTGCGATAAGTATGATCCATGCACAGCCTCGAGGGCAAGTTTATACTTGAGTGTCTACAGTTTATATTCATATACTTACCAACATAGACGCATATTGGGGAAAGCGAAACTTGGACTGATGAAATAAAAGGGCACAAAAGTGAAAAAATTAAATAAAGTGTCATAAAATCATAAATTGCCATTATTCCGCTCTCTTATAGTTAAGCTAACCGGTGGTGGTAAAGTCAAATATAAATTGTTGAAAAACTCTATTGTACAGCTTTGGTTTGAATTGCTTTGATATAATAAGATAATGAAAGACGAGATACGAGAACATAATGTAGATGTGCCATATGATCGCGTATAATATTTAACAAAAAGTCACTGACTGTATGTGTACTGTATACGTATAGTATCTGGCTAGTCAAACCAACATTTCATAACTTTTTAAAAATTATAAGCCATAAGTTGGAAGCCTTCATTTAATTTCTGCAGATGGTTTTTATGGGCACGAGTCCACCTCCCTGATTCTTATCTTTCGAGATGCCAGAAGCACAGAGGATAACGGTTCGTGACCCTGAGGCATTTCTTGCTGTCAGTTTTTAAACAGCGACAGTTTCAGGTAAGGTAAGCAGCCATCGCTCTCCCCAATACAAGATAAACTAACCAATCTCGCCGTGTTCATCTTCATTCTGTGGAAAACGTGCCTCTTTCCTGCATAAAATGAGCTTGAACTTGTAGCTTCCACTATAGACCTGAGCATCTTTGGGTTGAACCCATGAGTATCCTCCGAAGTGGTATTCGGTAAAGTACCCAAACTCGATGCGGCGTGGTGCCCACAAATAGATTTCGGAAGCAGAAAACCCCTTGGTTCCTTTTGATTGCCGTCAACGTTGTCAACCATAATTCTAACTCATTTCGATTAGAAACACACGATTACCTTGTTTTGTTACTCTGGTTGACACGTCTCAGTAATTTTGACTTCGATGAGAATTTCTTTTTCGGCAAATTTTTTTTATTCTTTTCAGATTCGCAGTATCTTTTTTTTTGTTTGAAACCCTTCTTGACATCGATTTTATTTTCTTATTTGATTTTTAGATCTTCCTAAGATGTAAACTGTTCGTTAGATTGATTTTTTTTCGTTCGCCTTCTATTAATTGTTTGGGTTTCGGAGTGTTTTAGCAACTCGGGATCTAATATCCTTCTGGCTACTAGTCGAAGTACTGGGTTCGTTTTTGAGCAATTCTTCTTTTATTTTCAAGAGCTATTTATTCAATCAGCTTGCGATTTCTAGTTCCTGCATTTTTATAGGGGACCTTCCTTCAGTCTGATTTAATTTCAGTAGGCTAGTGGTCGACGGTTATCATTGATAGGGCTTCAGTGTCGCAGCACTCGCCTGGGTTGTGTTTAACTCTGCCAAACAGCTCAGATAGAATTTGAACTCGCGTTGCATCGGAAGCACCCTCGATTCCTCTATATGTATGAGCTATATGTTCGGCTAACGTTTCCTCTAGCGTTTGCTAAAGTTGGCTGCCAACCCAGTCCAATATCTCAAGTCATTAGAAGCCAAAAACCTGCAACGGCTTACAGCTATGAAACATCCGGTTCAAGTTGCGCAAAACTATCATTTTTCAATATCTTCAGGTCGAAGTGACAAAAGTTTCCTTATACAACTTGCTACAGTTTTGCTTAGCATGTAAAATTCCTATGATTCACACTGTGATCTACTGTGAAACGAAGTTTCATAGGTAACGCTCGGAGTACGGTGATTAACGCACTGGCGCGCCATAGCCTTATATATGTTCTCTCGAGAGCCCGCTGATGTCATGCGTATGTCAGTGAAACGTCCCAGCAGATGCGTGGAGGATCGATAACATAACTTGCGAATCTGTGTAGATTTTTACAAAAAAATACGTCATTTTCATATATATATATATATATATATGTCAGTACCAAAAGAATATATATATTCTTTTGGTACTGGCGAGGATTATATTATTAAGATGCATATTTTTTAGTGAGAAATGCTTTTTCGACAAACTCGTGGAAACGAGAGGTTTATTTACATACGCACTTATTTCCTGAGTAACTTCCTGCTGCTAAACATATTTGTGTTCTGGCAATGCAATATATTCATAATAAACTGAATCGCAGAAAATAAATTATTGCAGATTAATAGACTGTACTCGAGAATCAAATGTACCGACTAATGCCAAGCTATTGATAATACCAATACTAGCAGTAATAATAATAACAACAATCAATTGGTAACGATAAATTAAACCGAATTTTGGTTTGATATGGATGCAAAAATAAAAATAATCCAAAATTGCCTTAAAACGTAATTTGAATTATGTCACTGTAAAATTAAATATGGTCCAGTCGTGGTTAAGGGATCATACTTTAAAACTAAGCCTGTCTGAAATCTAAAAAAAAATTGTAAAAAGAAATTGTTTTTTCGTAGTATGTCGGTTATTCCATATGGGGAACAGAAGAGGCGTGATTTTTACTACTGGAGGACAACTTTAACTATTTTAAATAAATAAACTATTAGCTTCTGACGTTCCCACACTGGCTCTAGGTTGTAAACTTGTAACAAGGTGTAACCTCTTTTATGCTATAGCTAAATAGTGAAGTCGCTTATTCTGCAGTGGTTTTATCAGACCTATAAGGCTATTCTCTTAATTGCTCGACTTTCTGTTCCATGTTTTGTTTCTTATGCCACGTTATTTTGTGGACTTTTCAAAAGTCCACAAAATCGGACAAGGCTTGCAACTGAAATCGTTATAAAGACCTCAAAGGGGGAAGATATTTTCTATTCTCATACTCAGTAGTGCGCGGGATTCGTATAAACATGACCCCTTTCTGCAATCTCTAAATGCTAAAAAAATATGCTTTCTTTTTTTTGTTTCGTATTTAAAACAATTTCTACATAGTAAGCGTACTTAGTACGCGCGTATATTAATTACGCTTTAAAATCAGATAGTTGCTCCAGCAACGTTCTATATCATTTCTGGGTACTCAACAACGGGACGCGATTTATTTGCTGGTCAAAGAAAAATAGTAATACAGTCGAAGTCAATCGAAATTTTGCTTATCATATTTTTTAATATGGTTATATAATTTTCTCTAATATAACGGTTGACTCCATGGGTGCAATCAGAACCCCGCTTACACCGCACGTTCGGAAAGCACCAGTTAAGGAGCAGGCTGCAGCTACAAATCATGGGCATCATTGTTATGATTCTATGTCAACGCAGCTTCTTCCTCTTCTGGCACTGAGTAAAGTTTATGTTACGGACTTAGACGTCGAAGGTGTTATACCCCTTGACACTCTGCTCGGCTCTGAATTACTCTGGAAAGAGAGTTCTTTTCAAGGTGAGTTCTCCCAAAGGGTTTGCGATCTGGTTTTATGACGATGACCTCTTACCATGGCTTTCTGTGTATATTGCATAGTAAATTATGTTTCCACTATAACGACGGTGGATGACGTTTATGAGATCAATGCTGAATCAGCTCCTTCCAAAATGAATATACTAGCTATTTCACCAGGTGAAAGTGCTGCTTTTGTGAGCAACTTTGCAATCGACAAATGTAGCAAAAGTGCATAATAAATACCTATCCATTCATTCTAAAATCTAAATACTGCTAGATTTAAGAATCTTATGTTTCGTAAATATTTTTGATCTTTTCTTTATAGTCAATGCAAGCTTTTCCTGTGTAAGAATGAGCTTTGCACTTAGCCGATATACTTTTTTGCTTACTTTAGATGGAATGTTCGCTCACACACAGACACTCTGCAGTTGAATGTCTAATACTTTGTTTGAGACTCGTACGTGAGTCGTACGTGGTAACTTTTAACGATAATCCTAAATTATCGTTGTAGGTTGCAGTTATCAAATATTTTAACTGAAGTCTTCGAAATTCCGGATACTTCTATTAGGGTCGTTGCTATGGCGACCCCTAATTTGAGGACGCATGTCAGAACCACCGACACCTTATTGACCCCCTAAGCTTCACAATATTTTCCATGATTTTAGAGACATAAAAAGTTAACGATAACTAATATTTGCGCAAATCAAATGCTAAACTGGTTGATAACCACTGCGTACAAAGATTAATTATAAAAGCGATGAAATTTTTTTTATCAAGTATGCGACAAGCATACCACAAGCCTAAGTACCTATAGACTTTTCGAGCCAGTTATTAGACATAGAGCAAACGTTAGATTATGTTTATAATGTTGCGCTTTGACTTGATACCCTTTTAGGGGACGTACGCGAGCCGCTTGTCGCACACCATTGATGTTATTTGATTCAGCCAGTTTAGCCAGTACCGGTGAATCGTAAGCATTGAGGAGTAGACTCAGCCCTGTAATCGTCAGGATGTCTGGATGCCTCCATATGCCTTGCAATCGGCCCGAGTGGCTAGATTTTACCGATCGTCGAAACGCAGTCTATTCAGTTGTAGCTGGATCACTGGTAACTGTGATTTCGAATAATTTGTATCTACGTAGACGCTCAAGGTGTTAGACTGAAATAGATCAAAGTAGGCAAGATTGCCATCACAGTCACTTGTGAGATACATTGTTAGAATTATGATCAAAACAGTCTTTACGTAATTATATATATGTATATATATAGATATTGATGAATATCATTGAAACACTTGTGACAATTCTATAGGAGCTGCTGTGATTATCCTGTTATAATGTTGCAATAGGTGTAAACGACGTCAAGTTTGTACTGGGTCAGTGCTGAGTACTTTTATGATCGAAGTGCTTATCGACCACTATGTGCAATACTATAAAACTATATTTAATTGAAAGAATGTTCGTATATAGTATATAAGTTTTAATTGAATGAATTTATGGTTATGATGCAATCAAAATGCATGGATCAAAATAGTAGATCCCTTTTTGCTGAATATAGGTTGATTCACTAAGAGAAAACTATCCGATTTATAGTAACCAACTTGTTCTATAAATCATATCTACCTCAATAAACATAATTTTCAACTTTATGAACATGAATATTGTATTTTATTACAAGCTATTGAAAATAGTAGAGAATGGTAATAAAATCTGTTATAATAATAAATAATACACAGTTATAATGTGATTTCATTATACAGATATTTCTTTAAATGCCTACTTAATGGCCATTATATTAACTTTCTAATAGATAAACACCTTGACAATATTTACATATAGGGATGTATATGCATTGTGGTATTTTTTCGGTTCACTGTTCTAATTGTACTCCCTTTGTCGTATGTTGCGCTAGTTTGCGATTGGCTGGTGGATCATGATCGACTGCGCAGCTCGGCATCCATCGTCGGCTGAGTTGAATCACGCGTACCATACAATCGGCGTGATTTCGACGCTTAGTCTCATTATGGTCAATGTCGTGTCGAACGCACAAGTCAGAGGTGAGGCGGCTAAGCTGCTTTAAAATCAGGCCAGCGCTTCAATTTTTCGGCAATTTTTCTCTGGAACTACAATTTCTACTTGCTACCATGTATATGTAAATAGATTAATTCGTACTAAGGCATTCTTTTACAAGTGACATCGTGTAAACGTGTAGATGCCTCAGGATGAAAAAAAATTTGCGCAGCAACCTCTAGGTATATGGCAGAAATGATTGAGCTTAGGGAAGACGAAGAACAAGCAAAAGAGAGGCAGTAAGGAGTTCGTCTTCCAGCCCTGCATTGAGTGAAAAAGTACCTCCTTAAGTCGAAATATAATAGTAATAAACGAAGTGCCAATTAAGGCTTATAGAGAGAACGGCCTGAATTTAGTGGCTACTAAAGCACTGATAGTGTTCGTGTCCGTAAACGGAATTTACAGATTAGCTCCTTAAAAATTTTTTTTGGGGTTCGGGGAAGCACTAGTAGTGTCATGTGCTGATCTACGATTATCAGTAACTACTGCTTTTTATGTAGACCTTTGATTTGCTAGGATGTCAACATCTTGGGTTTTAATAGGTCATGTCACGAAACGATAAACGTCATGGTGTACACCACGTAATGTTCTCCCTAAATAACAGAATCATACCTTGGCTTTGAGTTACCCAAGAAAATTTCGAGTGTTTTAGTTCGACCCAATATGATACTGAGAAAATTTTGATACCCATTTGTAATCTGTATTTCTCGTCTAAATTCAGTCTAATCGAAAATCCGCTTGGATCTAGTTGCAGTCCCTGTTTTCTGTTCATTTCACTTATTCGAGTGCCATATACAAATGGCAATTGTGAGATTATAGCATTTCTTTAGAGTAGATTGGTACTTCACTAAGGATCGTCAAAATAAGGCGAACTTCACAATATCGCAATGAGTTCTGGTGTCGATTGCTAGTGTGTCTGATCTCATGCAAGATTATCTACTTAATGTGCGCTATATTTTCGACAGGTGAAAGGGTGTTCACGAATGGCGTCTGCGGCCCGGCGGGGGCCCGCGTCTGGCTCTTTATTGGCTTCGTACTCGGCTTCGCAGCACTGCTTGGCTCAAGTTGGATTTTAGTCGCGACAAACTTCTATTCTACTTCGTTATCTGTGTTCCTGCAAAATGCATTCATCTTTGCCAGGTATCTAGATAATCTGCAGTCTATCTTCTTCATTATGCATTTCGGCTATTTTTTCATGAAAAATATACACCCACTATTAGAATAATTCTATTTTGGCTCGCTGTATTCTACTGCGCTGTAAACATCTGTATACATATCTGTCCATTCGTATATGTGTGAGTGTGTATTTGTTCTAACTGATCATAACCAACCTTGTTCTGTTTTTCTTTTCAATATATATTTTTAATTATCAATATATTATCATTATCAATATCAAAATAATTATCAATATAAACAGATAGATGAGAAAAAAAGCTAGAGTGGTACATAGGTCGTAATACTGAATTTATACATTCTTATTCTTAGTGTCCTTATTGGTTCGTAATGATCTGTGACATTCCAGCTCGATGGCTTTCAAGTTTGGTCGTAAGGAATCGGATTCGTGGGGATCCTAGATAACAGCATCTCTCTATAGAAATTTTTCTTATTGCCATTGCACACCTAGTGAATCAAACACTAAGCAAGAACGATTCTTTAATGAACGAGGAGGAGACTGTTTATTGTTATTATTATAAACTGATTAATTTTATTTAAAAAAAAATTCAAATTTTCAAGTTTATAGAGTCCGAGCATGGTCGAAAATGATCGTGTTCGAACACGGTTTGGTATTTGTCAAAAATTTATGTGAATAGACGGTTTAACATGTATACACATATTTTATTTAAATAGATTAACGTTAAGGAGCACTCGGCTCATCAAGCCTTTTAGGAACGTAGACAAAGGTCCCTACTAGAGTCGGAAAGAGATCACGATCAGACCTGGGGCGCCATTGACAAAAAGCAATGGCGTGGAAAAAAGAATCATCTCAACTGCGTCACAAAGCCATTAGTTTACGCTAACTAATGGAATAAGGATGGCATAAGCAAACTGACGAAGAGTGTCGTGCGAATACTTACTGTGAATATGTTTTATAATATTATCCTATTTAATAAATATTTAGCATTATGACTTTTAATATTGCCATTATTATATATAACGTTGAAAACATGAATGAGTTACAAGCAACAACACTAATGACAAACATAGAAACTTGGAATGCAGTTAAAAAAAGAGTAGAAATCATTATTAATCAACTGTATATTTGGTAGGTTTGTAATAAATGACGCCGATTGTCTACTGATTCTGCTACGACTTGTATTTCGTCACATAACCAATAAAATTAAATAAAACAAGCATTGAATTGAAATATTTTGGGTCTCTTCCATACCTGATACAGATGAGTGAAATAGATGATAGTCTCTCTGTGTCTTCTTATTGTTAATATATATTAGCTTTGGGACTGGGGGATGCCTGAGTTGGATATACGTTGTATGTATTTTACTTAAGTTTATATTTATATTTATATATACTTATGTTTAGTTTTGAAAGAAGAATCTTAAGTCCGTTGCTTTACTGCCAGGTTCTTTGTTGCTATAAAAGCGTAATGGTTATTAAATAGACGCCATTGGAAGAATCCAAGACATCGATGCTCAGTTTAGGGTCTTTTTTTAAATATAATAACGAATTTGAATTGAATTGGTTACTGAAAAATGTATAAGGAAAAATCTTAAGCTCATACTAAGGTACTGAAGATAAACCCTAACTCGAAATTTACTTCAAGAGTCCATATCGGTTTTGATTCTGAAGCAAGCGGATAGAGTTCTTTCCTTTTCAAAACAAATATAAAAATATTATTTAAAGCTCAAACTTGCGACTCGCTTCTAACTGTGCCAAATTTAGTAAGCAAACGTTTATCTGTTGGGAAAATGGCTAAAACTTCGTTATGACCAGGACTACTAAACTGTTATAAGGCAATTGGTTTCAATTCGTATAAAATTCATTATTACTTTTATTTATCTGCTCATAATAAATAATAACCAGAATAAAAAAATGTTACATAAGTTTATGATGCGTATGTATAATTCCAATAATTGCATCGTATGTGTATATAATTTGCTTATATGTGCTATATTAGAGTATACCATATTTGTAACACCCTATAAATGAAACAGCTCGTTTAAACGTAATTCCTTTCCAGTGGAGGTTACTCATTTAGTAAAAAAATAGAATCAGACAAAAGGAGACAGAGACCCTGCACCCCCCATACGAACTCATGCGAGCCGCCGATCTTCCTTACACAAGTCGCAACTCATCTCATTGTCCTTCGAATTTTTACGACATTCAAATAAACATAATACTTCATGCACTTCACACAGAGGGTTTCTGGACGCTTTGATTATATTGATTGGGCTTTGTGTGCTGTTAGTGCGACCCTCCGCACATTGTAAGCGGTGAAAAATCTCAGTTGTTTTTTTAATACTTACAAACCGCGAAAGTACGGTGCAGCAGCATTCGGATTTCTATCGTTTCTCTAAAAAAAAAGAGCTTTTGAAACAACTTTTTAACTCCATTTTTGTTTCTCACAGCTTCTCCTCTGTGCAAGTTGTGTTACTTTTCGACTGCTACTAGAAATAATATGAATTGGGTCCTGGTGTTTTGGAAGTCCACTTCGACCGATTCTATTAGACAGCTCGTTTCTACAGACACCAACATGCGAAGGTATTTATTGAAGGCAGATCCTGAAGTTCATATATTCATCACACGTTTTCCAAAACTGAAGGCCAGACACTCTTTCAGCAACGAAGAATGTGACCTATAGATAATAATGGTTAAGCTCAGAAAAACTGGACAGTACTAGTCGGGTCTGTTTTGTAGAATAAAACCGCTAACTCTTAGTCATCATTCAGAAATCTAAGGACAGACCTGAGAAATTAACGTGCGCACTCTCAAAGAGTGGAGCACCACGGTATACGAGCTTTATATTACTTTTGCCAAATATCTCCTATGTCCTAATAATTAACAACCGCATCCAGAGATGGATGATGTGATACTGAATACATGATCTTTTATTCGTCAGCGGTTCACTACCGGCAGGAGTGACGTCAGGCTTAGATGCTACTCGAAAGAAAGACAGGGGCACTACCGTGCTGACAGATATGTTATTATCCATTATATATTTGCTACCAAATTTATTTATTTTTTTTAAATCGAACATTTATGGGAACTGGTCTATTAGTCATTCCAATGTTAATATCGGCTTATCTACTGGATATAACATATTTTTGTTTCAGTAATTACCTGTAACTTCTTTGACATAGTATCCAGAAGCTGTGCACACAGATTTGTAAACATCTAGCGGAATCTGTATTTCATGGCTTGTTATATGTATGTTTGGCACGGCAATGAAGCGTGCATATATTATTATTTCAATTTTAATTTCAATTCACATATGTTGTGCAGCACATATCGTTGGCGGAGATCGAGCTAGTCAATGAAGTCAGTTAACCGGCGAGTCTTTCAACCATATAAAAAAAATACAATAATTATATGTTGTCCAGTAGCTTAGCTGAAACTGTTCTCATGAGAATCGTGTCTCGTGGGCGTCCCCTTGGAAGGATACTAGAAATCTGCACGTACTTTTGCACCATACGGAAAGGGTGTGCTATCTCCATGCCGTCACTCAACATCCATTGAACGCTGTTAGTAAATAAGCGTACTAGTCACTTTCTACCTCTCTTCCCCATAGCCCAGCTAAACAAAATCGCGGTCGGCTATATGCGATCGTGCCACATATAAAAGTTTTGCACATTTCTCATGACCATATGGGAAACAAGTGCAAGGGTGTTTTCACTAGCAGTTTCCGTTAAAATCCACCTTAAATAAGCATTCGAAATTGAATGGGCCCTGTGGGCAAGAATATCGAATAGAAGGGAGGAAGTTCTGAGAGAGTTCATTTGGTCGGCGCCGGCTGCAGTGAGTCTTGAGGTGGAGCCATGTAGGCTAGATTGTACCGGATTTCCTGGATCTTGTTTGTTAATGCTGTTTCCGTAAGTGTTAATGTTAAGTGTGGCAAAGTAGCTAGTTCTGCGTCACTTTCAAAAACTTTCAAAAACAAAAAAGCAGATGTTCGTTGTGTATTTGGGCCCTCGAATTGCAACAGGACCTGGAAAGCATATGTTTTTGCTTTATCTGTTCCGTTGATGTTCAGCAAATTAAAGGCTCGCTATACTGTGACCGTGTCATTGCTGGAAACTTAGCTTGATTGTTATATCGTTTTGAATTAGCCAGTGTTGAACGCATCTTGTGACGGTTAGGTGGGATTTGCTACGCAATATCAGTCTAGTAAAACAAAGAACAATGGAGCTGTATATGAGCCTTGACAAGTACCTCAATGAGAGCTTTTTTGAAAAGTATATGCGTATAAGATGAGGCTGCGCCAACGTCTTTGATTCACTAACCGTTTAGGCTTGATTGTTAGAAGGGGACGTATCGTTTTATTTCCGAAGGTTGATCTGACGCACCGGGGAGAAATATCGGCTGTTACCGTGGTGTAGCGGTTATCACATCCGCCTAACACGCGGAAGGTCCCAGGTTCGAGCCCTGGCAGGAACACCAAATTTTAGCTCACGTATATTTTACTGAAAATTATTAAATGATTAGTAAAAAATCAGATTCACAAGTGGTATTATTATATATATATACAGTACGTATACGGCGTATACAGTACGTAAATCGAATTTGTCATTGTTTCGACCAACGCATTAACGAAAGATCACCATAAAATTCGCAAACTACAATGGAGAGAATGCCCTATGTTGTTTTACCGATGAAATGAAGATATGATGTTTGGATTTGTTACGCTTTTGAGTTTATTATAAATTCATGGTAGATGCAACACGTCGAATTTTCGCTATTTAGCAGACTTGTTTTACCGCCCTTAGTGCGGCTGTATTTTCTTTTTTGTTCAATTTACTTCACATATTAATTAAATAAATGTAAATGTCAATATTTAATAAATATGATAACTAATTATTTGATTAGAACAAATTATAGAAATTTGTTTGAAGACAGCAAAAGGTGAATATGTTTTCTCACGTTCATATCTTGCTACCATTGCCGGCAATGCTGTTGCTTATTTAGCGCTAGTTTCTAATGGATGTATTGTATGCTTACCTTATGCATTTAGTGCTTGTGTGTGTTATGCCGGGGCAACAGAGGACAAGCTTCAAGTTCCAAATGGCCGAGATTCTATTGCTGGGTTATGAAATGAACGACAGATAACTTTGAAGTTACTATTAGTTTATTACTGCGCACACGCTTATGTAGCCGCTCGTTCGTCATGGTATAAATAATTACGGTGACAATCTCGCTTTGTCGAAATGATGCATAATGAGATCATGTTCTGGAGCCCATATTCAAAGTTTTCTAGTGCCTCTTACCTCACCAACATTTAAAATTCACTCACTGTGATATATTGACAGATATTTATGTCGTCGGACAGGTGGCATTTGACAACTTGGATTCGAGCAAGTTGGCAACGATTGGCAGATGTCGTTTTCGTGCGCCATTGAAGGATTACTTGTTTATACCGATACATTTTGTTCAACTAATATATTTTAATAGTAGCAAGGTAGATGAATTTATGGATCAGTTGGCAAGTGTACTCTATCGGTACCATATTGATATTGTTATAGTCACTATTTTGGCTTGTTATCTGTAGCTCGCCAACAAGCCTGTGACGTTAGTGGACTTTCTTTTTGCTTTCTAGCTATGCCAGACCGGCCTATCTCATACCTGTGGCGAGTGGCGGATGAACTGTCTGCCATTGAACTCGCTGTGCTTCGAGATCTACATTTTGTCCTCACGCGCTTTTCGTTTGCCACCTCTTTAATGTCAGTTAGTCAGGGCACGGTCGACTTCAATCTTGCCGATCGGTGTTCATGCTAAGCGACGAACCAAACAACTCGGTCTGAGTTCAAGGAAGATCTATCGCGTAAGTGCACAATCGGTGATAATTCATGTCGTATTGGTCCTCGCAATAGTGCATCCTCTTCTGATTCTCTGTTCCTTTCGCTGTTGAAATCGGAGCTCGTACAGTGCAGGTCTGAAAAGCAAACCCGTTATAACGGCCTATAAAGAGTGAACCTGATCAACAGCGGTTGTGGCCGGAGTGCTTACAAAAGGACACAGTAACTTATCGGTAGATATCACATAAACGGAAAGCACAAAAACGGTTACTAAGAAGCGAAGCTCCATTGGAGGTTCTGAAAAAAGCTGAAAAGCTGTAAGGTACGCATACATATATGTGTGTGTGTGCGATTTCGTAGGCATACCTCTTTTTGGCTACTACGTAACTAGTGTGGTAGTCAGACAGTGTGTAAAAAGACAGATAGTGTGTAAAAAGTTAGTGGATTTCAACGACAGATTAACCTGTGAAACATTAGCGCAGACAGACGTAATAACATGAGTTATGTTATGATCTGCGATAACTGAATTTGTATACGGCCTGACTGCTTTTGCAGTAAACTCGAAATGTCTCTCCAGTCGGTGCACTTATCCAAAAATGGTGAACTGAAGACTAATAGACTATTTGTAGAACGCATCGTATAAGCACATTAGATTTTCGTCATAAATTTAAAAGGCGCCCATTGACACGCGCGTCATCACACATTCGTTTCTGTGTTCTCATGATGAGCTTTTAGATATTGGACGAGCCGTTTTAGCAACAGGAATTATTTCGTTCATTTTCGATCACTGTACAGCGGTCATAAAACGACTGTAGTTCATTAGCATCAATTAACATATAAATAACAATTCTCCTGTACCTTTATGGTTGTAGACCTGGTCTTTCTGTGTTCATGGTACCAAACAAACCGTTGTTTTCCTACGTAGTCATACAAAAACTACAGAACTTCACGTATTCAGCCGCCGTGTTTTCCGCGAAGGGGTCAATATCTCCAATCGAATCCTACGTATCTTTCGTTTTCGGCGGACCGCTTTTGGCCACGAGTGCCGGTATTAGCTGGCGTGCTCCCCGCCGTTGCTGTATAGTTATTTTCATATAATTGCAGCGCAACCCAACAGACTTTTGTCTGCTGCAAGGCTACTTCCCTCGCCAGCGACCCGGTACCACCGCAACTGCTGCGACCATCTCTTACCTCAGATAAGCGCCATCATCTTCAGCTAGCAGGGAAAAACGCTTCAGCACACGGCTAGCTGTTGCATGTTGTTGGCTAGTCCGTGTACGACGAACGGAGTTGTAGTTGCTATTGCAAAGTCGGACAAGAAAGACTTTGCACTAGTAGAAGAAATCGCTGGAAAACACAGCAGACCGAATATCACACTGGCGACCCGCTAAGCTGTCTCGATTGTTCGGACTTGGTCACAGTCACAGCAACCGTTGTCTTGCCGTTAGGTAGTAGTAGAATTACACAAACAATAGAATCGAGTTGCCGCGTGCTGCGCTGTGTAACATTGTGATCCAACAACCAATCGTAGCGGTTCGCAAGACAATACGTCCACATTATCGACTTAATTGCGCACGCGCATGCACGCTCACATATGCTAGCTTGCTGACCACCTCACGAACCAGTCGACCAGCGGCACGGATTGTTTTTCAGCTCTGGGTATCTGGGCACTGATCGAGCCCTATACGCCGTCATCTTCTCATATACCTATACATATCAGCAAAATCCGTATCGTTAATTCTTTTGCGTTTGGTTCTGATCTGTGGAACTATAGGAATATCCGAGGTAGAGGCAACTCAGTTCCTCAGAAGTCAGAAACAAGTGAACTATGGATAACGTGGAAAAGTGATTGTGAGATCTGGGGAATGGGGATGTGCAACTAGTAGTCGAGACTCTCTAAGTGCTCTGTGATGATGTCACTTTTGCACGTTGCAGCAACGCCGATGCGATGATGCCAAGGCTGTCGGCGGGCTGATCTAGCTTCCACTATGGAATTTAATGATTGAAGGACACACCGATCTTCATGAAAATACAAACTCAATTGGATTCTTCAACAACCGGCATCAACATGTTCGAAGTGGAACTTGGTAAGTTTACAATAGAGCCTAGCCGGTCAAGTTAATCATTGGTTAATGTTCAGCGTAGGCTGAATTCGCATCTTCAGTGCAAACTGCCATGAATATGTGAAGATCGGCTAAAGAAGACTTCTAACGAAATATAAGCACTACATAAACGCAGCGTTAGCCTGCATTTCAGCCTAATACGCATAATTATACACTAATAGTGGTAATATGTAGGATTAAAAAACATCAATCCGTCTATCAGATAACCAGCTACATTGATTAGTAGAGAGAATATAGAGGAGAGAGGATAGAGGCAAACAAAACAAATCATCTATGTTCTAATCTAACAGAAACCTGGACACCTCATCTATCCAACAAAGTTAAGTCATAATCAGCAGCGGTTCATAGTACTCGTACAGATTGCCGGGGGCCATAGGTCTAAACGCTCGGTAAACATGTTGTAAGGATAAGACCCGAAGATATCGCCAGCTTTGGTGGTTGCGACGTGATCCTTGTTTTGGAATAAGCGATTTTGTACAAGGCAATCTAATGTTGACGCCGGCTGTTTTTTGTTGTTATAAGTAAGGTGATCTTTCGGTAGATAATTATAAGCGTGTAAACACAGAACATTTGTCAGAATACTCTCCACCTGGTGAAGAGAGAATGATACAGATTGATTGATTCTGTTGTCGAAGCTGTTTCTAGTTCTATGCTTGCACAGTGTTCGTTAATAAAAAAAAAACAAAAAAAATAGCCATTCTCAGCAACGAAAGTCTCACTTCATATATATTGGGTATTGATGACGGTCACGTAACACATTAGGCACGTGTCATAACATACATATGGCGTAGCTGGTAAAGTCGTAGGAAGATTCATGGAGAAAAATGTAAGCTGTCATTTATCTCATTCTAACTTTTATCTATACAAGCAATGTCTAAATCAAAAGAAATAACTAATAATATAATAATAAAAGAAATAACTAAAATAAAAGAAAGTGTATAGTTTACTAAAATAGTAATAGTTGAAGTTCAGTTAAGCTCTATGATCTTCTAAGACAAACGAAGGAAAATCATACTTAGGTTTGTTATTAATCCTTCTTCTAATTAGTGATTAATTAAATTAGTAATTAGTTAGCAATTACTTAAACAGAATAAATCTCTCTTAATAATCAGAAAAATTTCTCTTAATAATCCCTTAAATTAATAGAGAACATTGTTATTATAAACCTCTATTAATTGCCTTCGTTATCCCAGAGGATAGCATCATGTACTTTTGCGGGTCAGTCAGGTGTCGGGTCAACGTAGTAATCACTAGTGAACGTGACCATGGCAAAAATAGAACGTAGACATTCACGAAACTATGACTCTTTCCTGTAATAGGACACAATGAATGAACGTGCGAGTTAGCTAGACATTTTAGCCAATAGGATATATTGTTAGCAGTGTAATACATTCCTGGTAATTTGCGTTCAGTCTAAATAATGTCACAATTTAAAGTCGAAAACGATTCGAATTTACTGAGAACCGCTTATGTCGCTTCCTCAACACTTCCAAAGGGCCCTGTTAGAGGAGTAGTCCTAACAGATGGGGCAATATCTTGGCTTTGATTTTTGATACCAGCTTCTGTCTAAGGCGACGCAGTCTGTTGCAGCCTTTTTATAATAACTACAATAAAATTTTTCAAGCAATCCAATATTTCGTCTGCCAAAGAAGGCTGCTAATGATCTTGAGTTATGGATGTGGATAGTCCAACAACGCTCACTACTGCGCGTTGTTTTCAAATGTATCTCTTATTTGTGCTCAACGCCTTGTTGCTTCGCCATGTTCTCATCATAACAGCGCTCAAGAAAATGTAATGCTGAATGTAGTTAAAAAAACGTCCCTTGACCGCATATATTTTGCTCAGACACCGATAAACTAATTTAGCATCCACCTAAGCAACAAAATACTAAAAGAAAAAACCAAAAAAAAAGTAGTGCATATCGCATATCTATACGGCCTTGTGTACTCTCAATAGCAAATAGAGGCACGCTTTGGCTACCGTGGGCACTGGAAATTAACTGTATTGGCAACCCAGTGGTAGTTTATCTGAGAAAACTGAAAGGTAAGAACGCTTTGTAGGCTAGTATAAAATAGGAAGGGCCATTTTTTCGAAACCCACATTTTTCTCGTGCTTATAAACCACACATTGGCTGGTTTTTCAGCTAGAACAGGCTTATATGCTTGCAAAAAGAATAAACATATATATATATATATATTTTGATTTCTTCTGATGAGCGTAGTATGAACACGCCCCTATTTCGACTTAACTGACATTAGTAGATCTTACCCCAATGGACGGATAAGTCAAGTACATAATATGTGGACTAGTGGACTTTGTGGCAATGAATGTGGCGTTATCATCTAGGGATTTTGCGAGTCCCTCAGCAGTATATCTAGCCACACGACTGTCAGCTTTGTGTTGTTAGTTACATTAGGCCTACTCAAATATATGTAATACCTTGAGCCAGTGCTCATTTAGAAGACTGTTCCCCTTCTTGCTGCCTAGAATAAGGCAATAGGTGCTGTTACGGGCAAGCATTTACGGGTAGTATTAGTCATCAACAAACATACGCATACATATGGCTGCACCACAGTCAACTGGGTAATTTTTAACCTAAAAAATAAACTTCAAAACAATCACATTGATCAGTGGAAAACTACAGCCTCGTGCAATGCGTTGATGTTTGCATATATCTAAAGAACGCTTTTATTACTAAAATTCAATTTTGTAAATAACTGGCTGCGGCGGTATGTTAGCTCTGATAAACATAACGAGTAAGTAGCTAACACTGATGGAAGACCATAAAAGAAAGAGGTTCAATTCGCAATTACTGCAGTGACTTTTAGAGTTTTGTTAGAGTTAAATGAGGTAGGAAAATACGGCGCGGTTGAAAAATACGTCTGGCAAGCTAAAACTGAAAAAAATGTTTGTTTATGAATTTTAAGAAAAACTATTTTCGGTATTGCTATATAAACATTTAAACCATATACGTGTATTTTATCACCTTTTATTAAAATAAAATAACGGCTTCACTGTTATCGGATCGAGAATTTTTCGCTGGGACTAATGTAATATCTAACGTAGTAATATAATAAACGCACACAGATCCTACATGGTCATTATCTTTAAACAAGCTTGTGCTTTACCGGCGCTTGCATATTTATGACTCACTAATAGTCACATGTTTAATTCTTACCCCGATCGGCCGGTCATAAGATCACACTCAAAAGAAGAATGGCTGTAGTATAGGTCGGAAGCAGCGACTTCCGTAGCACAAGACCATAGGATACGGTTACTTTTATGCAGAGGGCACTTGCAAAGACACGGTTGACATGCCAACTTTACTTGGCAGCAGCGGCAGAATCGAGTCTATCAGTGACAAAATACTACTATAATTAGGACATTTCGGGCAAACTGTAACATAAACCTTAGCTTACAGATGTTTTTTCTTCTTTTTTTTTTTAGCCAGGCTCTATACGAAAAATGCGCATGTTTTTCCTTGTTGTGTTGTCATTGGAGAATTTAGAAAATTTGTTTGTACAATGGACAATTAATGATATTAATTGAACATATCCAAGAAAAACTATGCCTTCTACGCTCCGCTAAGACAGAACTGCTGAAAGAGAATGCTGTTGAATAATTACTCTTGTATAATAATTGTAACGGGGTTCTATAGTTAGCACTGGCAGCATTCACTCCGTTTGAATAACAACATTTCAGTTGACTGGGTTCTCAAAGATCTACCTGGCAGGCCATTTGGCCAGTATTGACATATAGATAATTGGCCACTCCAGGCAACTATTCATACTCGTATTGTGGTACGGGAACCTGCTATGCTCTGATACTTTTGTGCTGCCATGCTGGGCCGATTAATTAGTCTGCGAAACAATAGTGTACATCGATACCGAGCTCTATCCCGATCATGCGCGGCTGAACGAACGAACTCACCAATGTAAGCTATAGCGGGCAGCCAATAGACTCAATCCAAATGCCACTTGTCTAATACGATGACCTCATTATGAGTCAGTTCAATCACTTTTATGCAATTACTTCGTAATATGTTTTCCTACTGAGTTTATGCCATATGTTACAGCTGATTTGCTTTGATGGCCATTGCCTTACGCGAAAATGTTTCCAAACGGCTGTTTCAGTTTGCGTCCAAAGTTCTATGAAAACGGCCACATACTGGATAGATTTCCGTTATGAGTAATATGATGGACCCGTTTAGGTCGGCCGTGCGCCGGCGACGACAATGACATCATCGACCCCCCTCATTTTGCCTTTGAGGAAAACGGATAAGAATGGCCTTTTGATTCGCGATCCTTTCAGGGACCGTCACACAATAACATGGCTTCTTTTACAAGTGACAATTGTGTGTGTATTTGCATTTGTTGGCTGAACGGTACTCGTACGTGATGCAGGAAATTGCGCTCGTTTCTAGAGAGTAGATAGGCTGCTAAATGCTTACATTGACACGCGAAATAGAAGAGGATGCTTTGTATCAGCGGACCCTAATAAATAATAAGGGGTCCACATGTCAGGAAATATATACGTATTAATTAAGTATAGTCCTGTTATCTCATTCATAGTGTTAGACCGTACAGAAGGTTAAGTTGTGCGAACCCTTGAGACGCACATAACTGATATATGATTTTGAGCTTAATGTGCTTTCTGGAATGTTTTGGAGATGGATTCATAGCCATTCAGTATTTCTGAGTTAATTCTATCATTCACTAATGAGCCGTATAGAGCTGAAAGATAGCGAAACGGTACGCTGCTACTTTGACCGTTGGTGTCTTCGTTCCGAATAGACCTACCAACTCAAAGACCAAATAAAACCTGTCATGATGCCTAGATGTTTACTTTCAACAGATCGCAATGTGAAAGCTTCGGGTCAACAAAATTTAATGAGTTACAGCATCTTGACTCGTTCGTCGATCACAATCATTCCGCTGAGCGAGGCACACACTTGAAGAAATTTTGTTTTTGGTATTTTCGAGATGGACGCAGATACCCTACAGCTTGTTACATGCTACAAAAAAAATTTGTCTACTTATATTGGTAACTGAAGAGGCTGCATATACAGTATGCCCAAATAGTGCACTTCTGCTAACAGGGAGGGGATACACGATTCCCCAACGATTAAAAGCTAAAAACGATCGCATCGAATGTATCAGATCCTTATAGGTCTACAACTATTGTCGCTTTCCTAAATTTTTACAATTGTTCTTCCAGAGATAAGAAAATCATAAGGAATTTAATTAATAACAGTTTCCATAAATGTTATATGCTGAGTTTATCAAATGAACATTATGGAACGCTGCGGATAGGGACCTATTGCTTCTGGCCATTATGACAAGGATAGTTTGCATAACGTTTTATAATTACGTCATGATATAGTGATTTTCGTTGTATTTGTGGTGCGAAGCTTTTTTTTTGCATAACCGTGTGTATTTGTACAGCAGAACCGTATTTGTCGCTCAGTTATGTGGCACCCCCGCGCAGGCGGTTTTCGAAAATGTGACGCTACTCATTCATTGTTTGTACTTGTTATGTTACGCTGTATACTATCTATCCGAAAGCAGATTTTTGATAGGTCTTCGAAAATTTGTCACTCGTCTTGCATATATATGGGCAGCTTAGTGAGTTGTTATTATCAGATCATTGGAGATCGCTCATCGAAAAGTTTCAATATTTGAATGAGTTTAGCAGCTTAAGGAAAATTATCCGATTTTTTTGCTGCTATCTCATATATTTTTAGTTTCACTAGTAATATACGCAGCCTAAGTGCGTTCTATCTGACATATAAAACCGATCACGATGATAATAACAGATGATATAAGAATCAATCAAGCTGACATTTACAGAACCCGCCGAATTAACGGAACGCAAACTCTCGGACCCAAAAATCGAATTTGTCTAAGGTCGTTCTAATAAACCAATGTTCTAATAAACAAGATTTCGGCACGGGACCAGACAGCTTGCTGAGATAACGTAGTCGGCTACGAATGCTCGCCCAGCCAGCTGCCCGACCCGTGACATTGTCAAAGGGTATTTGTTGGGTGGAACTGATCAGTTTTTAGGCAACAGATCGATCATGGCCTCACTGAAGAAGACGACCCCAGCAGTTGTAACGACACTACTATTGACAACCAAGTCGTCCGAAGTTTCGATAACTGTGATGCTACAAACGATGCACTTGCGAAGACAATAAGGAAGCTATTGATTACTGCTGATCAGTTGCAGCTGTTACACATCCAATACGGATGTATAGTATCGATCGAAAACGTACCGTTTCAATTTAGCTTTCGTCAAAGATTTCAGTGTAGGACCTAACTTGTCTTCACCGAGACATAGTCGCTAGACAATTGACTCCCTTTTCAATATGTCTTGCTCAGAGTGATTCTATATGACTATGCGATTTCGCGGATGTATCATAACGGTGAGTCCCTAGTATCCGTAACGACATTGATGTGAGGCCACTAAATTATGTAACTTCCGGAACAAAGACGAACTTCCCGATCAGGTGAACGCAACGTTGTTGCAAGACACTTTTGCGAAGTTATTCGCATCATGTCAAGGAGGATTGTTCGTTTAAACGGGACCCACGTCAGACGCATCATTTATCAGATTATGAGCTGCAGTCTCCTCTATCGGTGAGCAGACGCTTTCTAGTAAAATTCGTCAGAGCACTGGATCAGAATTCCATTGTTATAAATAATGTTCCTGAGGTGCAATAAAGTAATAATAATATTATTAGTAGACCCTTTTGCGATTTATGTGTTGTGTCGAGAGTCGTTTCATAAGTTTTTTGTTAACTTTATTGTTGTTATTATTAATTGGCTCGAACCAAAAAGGATCGAGGACAAGAGCACTCTGATATAGGGTGCTAAGGTAGATATCTTCAACTTCTTTGTTGTATGATGGTTATGTATGGTTTGTTGTATGATCATGTCTGTTTTCCCCTACGAATGCGAAAGTCAAGGAAGAAGTTGCTTTAGTCACGAGTACTACGGTAGATTTGCCCTTGGACGACTCACTGATGAATAGGGTGTTTTTTTTTGAAATAGTGATTTCGCCAATTTTCACACGAGTTAACGCCAGAAACGCTTCACAAAAAACGGTTGACGATACTTTTCTAAATTCAGGTAACAACGGGCAAATTGTCTATAATTAAATCACACCACAGAGAACTCGGCTGATTGCAGCCTCTTACCTTAGTCCGTGTCTCTTCTTTGCACATGTCATAATATGTACTTTCTTTTTGTCCACCCTGAGGGCATTTCCCAAAACGTGTATGTACCAAATATGTGTATTATTTACTAGGCAAATAGCGATATAAATTACGGCGAAAATAGTTATGCCGTTTTCAATTTCTGGCTAAAACCGTTCTTGCACTGTTTTGTTTCAATAGGTCGAACGATTCTGGGCTATATGGACATTATCGATTGCTTCTTAAATAGAAATCTACGTGTATAGAAAATCTATGTATATTCAGGCATGCGCAGTACTGCTTTTGCGGTTTCCATCGGCTTAGAAGACATTGAGGTAGAAGGTTACAGTGGTTCCCGGCTGTTCTGCTTTACAATAGTGTCTAATAAATAGCGACTGATCGTCGTCACAACAGAAGATTGACCTTTAGCAGTTGGCTTGGACCAAGCGGCATTTACTATCCACGCGTTCGTTTAGAAGCGACCGACAGCTCAATGGTTGATTAAATATTGTGGTTCTTGGGAAACATCTAGTGTCCAATAACACGTACCAAACGCTAAAGTGGGGTGACAAATTCACTTTTCCAAAATGTGAGGTGGATGAAAATGCTTCAGTACTGAAAAACGTTGTCTTGGATTTCTTTCGGCCTTTTGAGTACCCCGGATATTACACGTCGAGTACTCGAGATTTCACGTCACTGGAAAACTACCATTCGTTTTGGTAGTGATAATAAAGCAATCCTGAGCCTATCTGTTGTGAGAAATAGTTGTAAATAAGACATCTTTAATTAGTGTGCGCCGTACGTACAGTGTCATGAAATAAATGGCTATTACATAGGAGCAGTAGTAAATGTCGATGTTCGTAACCATGAAACAAACTATCAATGTGTATTCTAGCTATATAATATATATTTTCACATATCTGATGTAAATGTTGCTGAATCAGTCGTATTCTATTTGTTTCCTTTATCGACCTATTTAATTTGAGGCAATCTAGGACAGCATATGAATAGCAACTTCACTCTATAAGTTTGCACCGAGGTGCGCTTCTTTATATTCTTTAGGTGTCACAGTTACTAAATCTGCTTTTACAGGACACTAAACTCAGGGCAGGTGGATGATTAATCAGAACTGTAGCTTACTTACATGTGACATATCTATATACTGTTGATTTTGTAACTTAATACATCTTCAAGAAGTGCCACAGCCTCCTTTCGAGCTAATACCGGATAGTCGTCGTTGCTGGCGTCGCCGTCAATAGCACACATATAAGATAGAAGGCATTGTACGGTTCGCTCAATGATCGGCAGCGTCGCTAGTGGTCTTCGAATTTTACCGTATGTTTCTATCGTGGCCGAATATTTCAGACGAGACGGTAGCTAAAGGCCCGCTTGAAGATATTCTGCATGAGACGCTCACTGCGGAATACGTGCCACAGTCGCAGCGTAAAAGGCCGAAGCGACTAAAGCAGCCTGGAGTGTGCTACATGTCCGACGGATACTCAAAGGCAAGAACATATGAAGTCAACTATAACATATGTATTATAACAAACACTTAACATGGTCGCCTATGGCTTAATGATACTTGTGGCCCTTGTCGCAAATCGGCGTCACTGTTACTCATATGTGCAAAGTGTAGAACAGCCAAGATCCTTGTACGAGTACTGCGCAACCTATTAGTTACACAACAATCAACCAATCTCCCCAAGTCGACCGTGTCACCTTCACAATGTGCAGCTGGTGGTATACACGCATTTCTAACTAACACATTTCAATTCAGGTGGACTTTGTTCTCGCGTATGATCCGACAAGTAAAATTGGACAGAAAAAAAGAGACATCTATGAACAGGAGTTGATCCGGGCAGGGCTCAAGCTCGACTATGCACAGTCGGTACGTAAACAAATGGATGGTGCACCACGTTTCGAATTAGTGGACTGTAGTAGCAATCCACTAAAATGTCGACGACTTAGTGGGTTGATTTTAGTCATGCCTGTTCTGGAAGCATTTTTTGACCAGCAGATAAAATCGCCGGAGATTAATTTAGCGCAGGATTAAATAGTTGACCATTGCTGAAACAAATTCGAGGCAATGCCTGCTTCTTGAATGAGCCAGCTGGCCAGAACTCAGATGGTTGTCAGATAAGTGGCAAAAAAGGATCATCGATAAACCCAAACGTGTAGAGAGCTTCAACACGCCAGCTCTCACGAAGCTATGATATGATTACCTTTCAGAGTCTATCTCGTGGAGGGTTGATGTTTATCAAAATAAGTGCACCATGGGAGGTTCTCAGTACGTACGCTGAAGTGATGCGATTCAAAATGCCCGTCAAAGAGGTGAGCGTGTCCCTCCTTTTCGCTTATTTGATTGTCAGAGCAGCCATATTTATCGGATCATATATCTTATCGCATAGGATCGTCACTGGTCAATCGACTAACGTAATCCGGTTTCATCTATTCACTAGTCATGCAGATCAACTAGTCTTGCTACACGGTCACGTAGGAATACCCCGTGAGGACCATATATTGACTTCAGATATACGAATGAATTAGTAGATAGATATGTACTCACACAACGTATAAGGGTCAAGCTAAAAAAATAGGTTAAGATAACACAAATGCATCAAAATCTATCGTCATTTCGTTTGATTCAAAATATTCACAGGAATAACGATCTGTGGTTCATTGAGAAAATCCTCGGATGTTTTACATCATTATGTATATATTTTCATATAGTGCTTAGGCCATTATGACGGCGTATCTTATATAGTTCATATAATGTAGAGGCTAACACTTAAATGCAATTTATGTACAGAGAAAGAGTGTATTGTATTTTTCCAGTTCAGTGCGCTGTTCGCCACTCTCAAAATATGACGGATAGATATGTTTGAAGAAAAAAAAAACCTCACCGTAGTCCAATATGTCGAACTGTGGGTACATCTTAATGCACGTATGCTGTGTGAACGAAGATACTAACGTGGCGCTGGGGACGAAGTCGTTGTTGTTTCGTATCTACTGACTGATGCTAATGTTGTATGACGTGTGAATTAGTCAGATCGAGGATTTGGACGCCTAATTCGGAACAAATGCAAATAACTCACCCTCAGCGATGATAGGCGATATTAGCATGCAGAACGTTTGCTGTTCCGCAATCAATACGTCTAATTGTGAAGGTCACATTTACCTAGGGATTGATTTTGTCTTGATTACGTGTCTTCTTTGTCAGCAAGCTTCTGCCGTCTCTAAATTATAGCAATCTATCTCGTTGTTTTTTTTTTTTGTTTGTAATTGTTTTCCACATGAAATTACAAATCGCTGTGGCCGCCCACTCACTATTCGTTTCGACTTGTCTTTATCTTTCTTTTTCTGTATTCGTTTTTTGCCAAACTTTTCATTAGCCAGTTCATCTATTTCGCTGGTCTCTTTTTCGGCTTACTTCCTAGTAGTAACCGATGCTTTCCTTGTAACTAGTGGGGCGGCATGATTCCCAAGGTATTTGTACTTAACCACAAGGAAATTATGTGTTGTTATCCTCATGTCTCGCCATCCTTTGCTCGCGTCATCCTCTGTGTTGCCGTCCTTCTCCTGAACAGAGCTGCCTCAGAAGACAGGAGTGGGAAGCTATCATTGAAAACATTAGCCAATCGCCTAAACAGGTTTGTACTAGAAATCGCCATCTGTGAGTTATCCTGACCGCTGTTTACCTCCTTATGGCTCCTTTCATCCTGTGGACTAATCTATTTCCTTTGTTGAAATCTTTATAATGTGTGCTCATTTGATTTAATTTATCGTGTACATACATAAAATTAATATCATTAGCTCACTCAATAACACTTTACCTGATTTTTTCGTTGCATAGGAACAGAATTGTCCGTTTAATTCTATTTGGTGAAATAGTGTTCTAAAACAAATACAACGCTAGTAATGTAATGGCTTTCTAACATTTTGTGTTACCTGTGCACAGTCATACTTAGCTAGATAATCATATGGCATTGTGATGAAGCGGGCCGTACTAACTTCTTAATGTCTTATTCTGCAGCGTGAGGGGCATCTATTGGTATGTATATATATATATATATATATATATATATGTACCACTCTTCTTTATCTTGCCGCGCATGCACTACATCTAATTGACAAAGTACTTATCAGAATAATTGCTAGACAAAGTATACAATGTGAAAGCTATAACTCAAAATGGCTAGCTTATACGGAAAGCACTGCTTGCTCTAGTTTCGTTTTCCTTTCTCATCTAAAATTAATATTTGAATGCTTTTTTTTTTACTGCCATTTACCCAATCAATAATCAGTACCTCGATAAATGGTAGTCTCCTATTCATAATTAACGAACACTATTGTTTTCTAGTAGTGTAATCACAACGATTTAGCACTTGATTCTCGTCGTTCATACGTCTTCCGTTCACCGTCCTCACCGTCCCGTTTAGCCTTACAGAATGGTTTTTTGCGTTCCGTATCCAGCTGCTACTATACCAGCGAATTGATCCCATACTATATATCTAGGGTACGGCATCAAACTGAGCTCAATAACAGGACGAAAGGAGATCGAACTTCAGACAAAAATGCATATATTAACATTAATAGACCAGCTCCTTCTTTAGATAATTGATGATACTTAATCACTTCGTGAGTCTACCATTGATGAGTAAATTCAGGATTCACTTTTGATACGCTTGTCTGGTGGCTGATACGCTCAACTGTCGGCAAATTCCGTGTTACGGTCCGATGACTGGACTGGGAGCAGATTGGTGAAAATGAGGAAAATGAAAAAGCACTGGCAGCATCAAGACTCAGTCTCCAGCCGAGGCCCACGAAGAAGATGATGCACAAACAATTTGCCGTCACATTTTCGAAAACCAGGGAGTATCTGTAAATATGTTGTTGGTTCTTAGCGCAGTAGGTATGATAACCGACCAAAGAAAAAGATTATAGCCGATATTTTTGAAACAGTTATTAGCCATTTTGCATTAGTTATATCAGCAAATTGCCTTCTGAAAGCGCTTTGGCGAATCCTTCACAGATTGAGATATAAGAGAAACAGTAGAAATAAAGGTCGACCATCCATTTTAGCATCTCACTTATCAAGTTTTCCCTTTCTGCCAATGCTTGTTTAAATGTCGGTCGACAGTTTCGACATTCCCGAAGTAAAGGAAGAGTTCTTCACTTCGGCACAGCGATCTCAAATCGTCAACTATGTCCTCCAACGCAAGACATTTTCGCGTACGCAGGGTGATGACACGTACGATTTTGGCATCAATCGTCTTTTAGCCGATCTGACGTATTTGGCCGCCTATCCAGTACATGAAGGTTCAAACACGGAAAATGACAATTCGTTGAGAAACCGTCTACTTTCAGAGTGGGCATCGATATTTTCGACGTTCCAAAACCAGCCGCTGGACGATATTCGACGATATTTCGGTATTAAGGTTGGACTGTATTTCGCCTGGCTGGGTTTTTATACTTACATGCTAATTCCAGCATCATTCGTCGGGATATTATGTTTTGCATACGGCATCATGACAGTGAAGACCAACGCTCCCACGTAAGTTAGTGTTTCCTTGCAGCGGATTTATTTTTTTTTTTTGTTTAAAAACTTAGTTTACAATCAAAGTGATTCATTGTAGGCTGCTGTAGGGCACTCATAGAGAGCGATTTCTATGCAATATGCTCATATTATAGTATGCTGAAAGAAATTGTTGGAACAATATAAATAATATTCCTCATCTGTAGCACTTGTAGTATAGCTGCCGGGTTGAATTAATGACAACCTTGTTTCGCTCACTCTTTTTTGTCAATCATTTCTATACATATCTGAACAGGCTTGACGTGTGCATCAATGACAAGAATATCGTGATGTGCCCGAGCTGCGATGACGGTTGTGAGTACTGGCAACTGAAGGAGAATTGTAAACACTCAATGATGACGTATCTATTCGACAATGCGGCAACGGTTTGTTTCAGTATCTTTATGGCCCTCTGGAGTGCGGCTTTTTTGGAACTCTGGAAAAGGTAAGAAGTGCTGCTGTTCCTGTAGAACAGAGCGGTTAATGCCCTCTTCAATGGTCCTTTTTTTGCCGTTTGTGCACCCGTCATCCCCCTTGAATTCGCATTTGGTAAACGTTTCCGTTTCGACGGTTACTAAAATTCAAAATTACCTACAACTTACAGATACTCTAGTCGAATTACGTATCAATGGGACCTAAGTGGCTTCGACACGCTGGAAGAGAACTCCCGACCAGAGTACGTTGCTAAGATGACCGCCCTCAAAAAAAAGCTCTTAGACGACGGGGGTTACTCGGATCGTTTCAAACCGCAATTTTGGCGACGAAAGCTTCCCTATACGATTTTCTCTGTATCCGTCATTCTCCTTGCAGTGCTGCTCTGTATATCGGCTGCGATTGGAGTCATCCTTTATAGGTAAACACGCTTAAGGCTTTTTTGTCCTTCAAGCACTTACGTACCATTATTATATTAAGTTTAGTAGTAAACGATGAAGCCAAGTATCCTTAAATGACAACTACACGCTCCTACATTTACAGGATGACGTTACGAGCGGCGCTCGCTCTTAAAGGGGGCGACGACGTCTATACGCCGGTCATTGTATCATCAACGGCTGCCTTTCTTAACCTGATGTGTATCATCGGTTTCAATATGCTCTACTCGCGACTAGCCGTCAAGCTAACCGATATGGAAATGCCGCGCACACAAAGTGAATATGATGATTCGCTTACTCTGAAAATGTATCTTCTGCAATTTGTCAACTGCTATTCGTCCATATTTTACATCGCACTCTTCAAAGGAAAGTAAGTTAGCAGTTGATTTTTTCATCTATTTGCTACTTTTGCTGAGCAGCTTATATAAGATTTAAACCTACTAAATAAATTTCGGGCTCGAAATCATTTGGTGGGCTGTCACACCTTTCGATTAATTACCTGCTCGTGTGCAACCTTTTAGATTCGTGGGCCGACCCGGGAAGTACAACTATGTATTGGGTTCCTACCAGCAGGAAGTTTGTGGAACTGGAGGATGCTTTCAGGAATTGTCTATCCAGCTAGCTGTTATTATGATCGGCAAGCAGGCATTTTCAGCTATCTACGAATTCTTCTGGCCCGCCTTCATGAGGATGCTGCAGAAAAAAGGCATCAGGAAGCGAACTATTGTTAGTAGTGCACTCTGCCGCCGAACGAATAATAGTTTGCGGCGTTCGATGTTGTATGAAGTCTGTCTAAGTGTATCGCTCGTTTTAGTCATTCCTTATAGAATCATATAGAATACTTATATTTATAGCACCATATTGATTAGTTGCTTCTTGTATACCATGAGCTGCGTATAGTTTTGCTCGCTAATGGTCGACTCTTTAATAGTTTGTACAATTATCTTTATTTTTTTGTCTTTGTCACAAACCTAGTACATTGATATCAACCTAGATGAAGATGCCGCTCAGCAGAAGATGACGGCCGACGGAGCTGACGTCGATGACGAAAGACCGTGGGAGCGCGATTATTGCCTTCCTGAAATGGGCCAAACTGGCCTATTTTTTGAGTACCTCGAAATAATCCTACAGTATGGATTTGTGACACTTTTTGTTGCTGCGTTCCCTGTTGCGCCACTGTTCGCCTTAATCAACAACATCTTTGAGATTCGACTTGACGCGAAGAAACTACTGAACCAGTTTCGAAGGCCTGTCGGGCAGCGTGTGAAAGATATTGGTAGGCAAAGAGTGAAGTACCTCTTTCTAGTAGAAAAGCGTCAAGAGGTGATTTTATTTTGTGCAACATTTGCATTCAGCTCCACTATTAGATATTAATTTATCCTGATCAGCGAATGCGTACTTGTACAAATTTCAGGAGTATGGTATAGAATACTAGACGTGTTAGGCAAGCTCGCCGTCCTTAGCAATGCCGTAATCATAGCATTTACCTCGGAGCTCATCCCTCGACTGTATTATATGCTCAAGTACAACCCAAACCACGATCTATTTGGATACGTCAACTTCACCCTGTCCACATTTGACACAAACCATTATGGCCCCAACGTAAAACACAAGTGAGTGGTTTTCCTTTGTTTGAGAAGTATTATCGATTTTCCCATGCCTTTGTAGTAATGCAACCGATTTTTCTCAACACAAGATTAAACCCTGTAGCAGTTGGTTCAGCAGTAACTTCTATAGCCAAAATGCCAAATCGATTCATTATTTGATGCTATGTCCATGGTCATCGGCATTAAGTGTTTTATTTGTTTTTATGTTTTTTCAACTACAGAAAAAAGTCTGAATTGCTTGGCAATTCAACATTTTGCCGGTATTCGGATTACCGCACGCCGCCATGGGACGATAACCGTACTTATAAACGAACTATTGTTTTCTGGGAGATCTTTGTGTGGAGGCTGTTGTTCGTTATCATATTTGAGGTAAACACTTCTGCTGGGTCTTTTTCTAGTCGAGCTTATGTGAACTATGATTAGGACAAACCGTTAAGCTGAGGTAAGAAGTTCATTGCTTAGCCGCATGTTCGATGCCGTCATCTTCCACCACTTTTTTTTTCGAACTTGGAATTCTCTTGTATAAGCTGTCAAGAAAAATCGCTGGATAATTCCCACCATACGCTTTTAATTATAATGTTTTCTGTTCCTCCCAATGCCATTGTAGAACGTTATTGTGATTTTGACGACATTAATTCGCTGGCTGATCCCTGACATCCCACGCTCGATCCGTGAAAAGATTCGCGAGGACAACCGGCTCACCAACGAGCTCATCATTCTACAGGAACTTAAAAGGAGGCAACAGGAAAAAACCCTGCACAGAACATTATCCGGATAAGACGGCAATGGAGATCGCATACACAATCAACTGGCTTTGGTTTTACACGGGAACTGTCACGCACGCCTCGTTTATTACCGAAACACCGAAATTTAGACGTGAGAACGTACGTGAATGGACGAGCAAAAGTAATTTAATTCAGTTTACGGTAACGAAGACGATAGCATTGATAAGTGCTCTTTAGCTGCCGAGTTCGAACTAATCAGATACGACACAATATTGATAGACGACGCCATTTGAAATGATATTATTCCAAGATAATTCAAGATAAATTCCAACTAAATGAGTAGTTAAAGTTCGTAAAGTAAGGTCTGTGTGTGCTTTATGTAGCATTTGTTAACGAATGTCACATTGTTGGGTCATAAAAGAAGTTCTGTCACCTTTAACTTTGGACCTCTTTTCCTATCTAGATTATTCACGGATTGTAGACGTGAAGATAATGTTAATATAGATCATTTAATAGAAACATTCCCAGGAATCCCGTGTAACATCTTCGTGCCAAAAAGGATTTTTTCAGCAATAAAAATAATAATAATAATCATATAAACAGTAATCGACATGGCTAAGTTTATATTCCGTGTTTAGGTTTCATTTCTCACGTACAATGCTGTTATAAAGGTACTCAAGTTAGAGAAATTAATAATACAACTTTCAAGATCTTTTGAACAGGTTTTACAATTTGTTAGCTGATAAATAAAGTACATCTTTTTGAATTATAAATAGGTCATACGAATGAAGTTACTCCCTATAGAATTTGAACTATTGTGACACTCCGTTTTAGAAATGGTGGAACGTGTCTATGCCTATAAGACTTGCAGGAACATCAGGTGGTTTATTGTGGAGCACCTTGTGAAAAGTCTCATAAGCGTTTTTTTTCTTATTTTTAATCTGCGCTTCGGCATATCGCGCTATAAATAAATCAAGCAGCATTCAGTAGCTAAAGGACGTGCAACTAGGATCCATAAATCAGGTGTCCGACAGACCTGCAACAGCAGAAAAAAAGCCAGCAGGTAAAATCCAACTTACTCTGCGTGTGTATTCATGCAGATTTTCATATCTGATAGTTGAAGGGCCATAACGTAGAACGTGTTAAGAAATTGACGCACACATGCTAAAGAGCTCAGCGACGGGTAGTGAGTTGTTGGGTAAAAAGCTGCTTGAGAAGAAATTACTGTTTACACTGAAGATTTGTTAACCACAGGTCCTGTTTTTTATTTTTTGTATATTTTAGCAATTTAGTGTGTCCTATGTAAGGGAACTGCGTTTTGCGCTCATATTGTTTTGGAAAAAACTGTGTTTAAGTTGTGATAAATATTAAATGAGACTACTATAAAGCGAAAATGAAATCTCGAAGGTGTAAGGTGGGTGAATAAGATTATACTGGCTTTGTCATGGCATTCTGCCAATTTCAGTTACAAGAAATAACTTTTAAGCCTTTAAAATTTAAACAAGAGCTCTAGTTGTGTTGGTCAGCTATTAGAAATAATTCTGACGATATTTCGTTCTTATGAGAAGATGTTTGTGTTTAGAGAAACGTATAAATAATCTATATATATTGCTGGATTTATCGTAGGGGATCTTTTTTGTCGTCCATGACTCTGTACGTTTACGTCACAGAATGAATCGTAAATATGGATTGTTCATCTTTTGCTCAACTGTGATGGGAATGTTTGTGCGGCGGCATCCATATTGCACTCTGCATATTCCCGCCGTTGTCGACGATTTTCTTCGCGAATCTCTAATTTCGACTCCGATCGCCATTTGCTTACGGCTAATGATTGATGTGCAATGTTTTGTTGGAAGATCCATACTATTTTGAATTTGTTTTTCTATTTTTGGAATGAAATTTATAAGAACAGGAATAGATGTTTGTTTTTTTTTTTTTTTTTTTTATATACGCGTTAGTTGATCATATTTCGACATGTGCTTCACTATGATTTGTTCGTTTCATATGTTGTAGATAAGTGTACTGGTAGCTAAAATATGATTTATCGAACACACATATATACGTAAGGGTCAATTGCACAATGGTAATAAAATGATATATTTCTGCCTGCCTTCTTGTAAATACGTGACTGAATGCTATGTTGGTTAGGAGAACTCTAACGATTGTAACGGAGGGTTAGGTATTCCTGTTTTATCACTATTACTTTTAGTACAATCGCCGGTTCTTTTCACAGTAATGATATTTTTCAAACTATCTCTAATAGGAAATGTGCTCAATGTTCTATCGAATTGATTTATGCGTATCAAGTGTTATCAGAGCTGCCGAACACACATGATCCGATCTGAAATACACAAATAGATCCTGGTACGCTTCGTTTTTTCGATCGTTTGGAAACTATTAAATTTTTGATTTAGCGAAAAGCTTCGATAAATATTGTTAATGATGAAGTCACAGGTCACCTATACTAGCTGGCGTTTAGCGCTGGCTAGTCTTCATCTTGGAGGAAGCGCGAAGCGCAAACTTGGATAAAACATGTTCAGATTTCTGCCTGAAGTAGTTGATTTTTTCGATGCTATTAGAGGAAGTGCCTGTTATATAGACCAAGCGCCAAACTCAAAAACATAAACAGTGCGTTATGAGCAAAAGTAACAATGACGACAACAACAAGTCTAGCCGTGATTATAAAAAATAGGCACGATTATCTATGTATAGTTGGCCGGTGGTCGCGTAGTTGTGCGTGTCTAAAACTTTTGCGCAATATAAGTTCGTCAGGTGTCATGACAGTCGGTCGAGAACTCGTTTACCAGCCGCGTGCCATCAATATAATTTTCTGTTATCAACGAATAGTCATATCTTGAGCGATTATAATGATAATAAATGTTCGCTTTGCATGTGTATTTTGGCGTAAAATGTGTGCTTCCTTTTACATCAAATAGATATTGAAAGACCTAAAAGATGAATGGAGGCCTTTTTTAAGGTTACCCCACTCCCCATTTAGTACAGTACTTCGTGTATGCATGCAGATATATAATATGAACGACCTAAACTAACTGAAGTAAGCATCGCCTACCATTCAGAGTATTTCTAGAGACTCGTTCAATTGATTTCAGACATTTCGAATGGGTTACGTAATGGAATTTATCAAGTAGGGCTATGACGAGAAGATCCGTTATCGATATACGGTCGACAAATCGTGGAACTACTCTATGCCCCCCCCCCCCCCCCCCTGGCCTTACTTTGTGCTCAGCGTCTGTGTATGTAAATAGTTTCAGCGAGTTGTAGCTGTTCTTGTTCGCGTATGTTTTGTGCACGTTTGACGCAGGCCTTTACAGCATCCGATCTAGATTAACGTTCGTAACGCCAAGAATATCCAGCAGTAGAGCTTTGAGCCTTTAGGCTTACAGGCTTTCAATAAATGACTTGTCTTTCGTAGTGCTTCTGTGTCGTCGACAGGACCTTCCGGTTTGATGACGGGTTAGTAGGTGAAGTGTTTGTTTGCTAAGTAGATGATTTGAATAATAAGCAGGCCAGTCTTCAAGATAAAATATGCAAAATAAATGTGGTAGATGAGTAAAGCAATCATATCAATAATTTTTTTTTACTTAGTTGAAAACACAGCGCAAGATGTGTAAGTAGCTTTATAAATAAAACCTCGTTAAAAAGTAAATATACAGGCATATTCGTTCATGATGGATACTCTTCTGTATCGTGAATTCCGGCAAACCCCATTTTGAAATTTACAACTACCTATTGTGATCTAGTAACTAGCAGATATTATCATCTCGTAAATCAATAATAGACGCTTATAAATATGAAATATATATCTATAATGATCTCTAGTACTTTCTGTGATATCTCCCACCACTTATGTTTTTCCAAATCTTTCGTCAATCAAATACGTTGCATTTGACTATAACTGACAATATGGCCGTTCCAATGTTCTTTGTATTGTTATGTTATGATTTGAAATCAGTATCAGCCAATCAGCATTTGTATCAGCCCGTAGTGAACGATGCTACGTGTGTATAGACATCATAAATAGAGAAAAAGTGAAAGAAAGCGAAACATTTCACTCTATTGCATCTGTTGGTTACCTCTACGAATGAGATCTGTACAAAATTGCCGCCAAGTTTCCGTCTTTCAAAATGGCCCCCTACAGAGGGTGGATCAGTCAGCTGTTGTACTTCTCGACGCTACAAGGAAACATGTTTTGAGTTATTTGTTGGCCGCTGCCACTGAGTGAATAACGTCGACGTGAGGTACGTCAGTGATGGGTAATGCGGAATTAGCATAAATTAATGTGTTGACATCTAGGCAACATGGGGATACTGAGTTCAGTATGAAAAGAAAACGGTTGGATCGTATGTGAAAAAAGGTCTTCCTTTTAAGATTAGGACTATTCAGTGTACCTACGCAAAATGGTAAAAGCTTATCCAGCAGGGCATCTTCAGCCGGAAGCTTTGGTTAGTGCTGAACCAAATTGTAGTTAGGTTGGTTTTTCGACTTGGCCCAACTAGTGTCTTTGTTTACTGCCCTCACCGCGGGTGATTATATACTATATATTTATTAGGCTACTAATTTATATATAATTCATCGACTGTTTCAGCTATCGCATAATCTCATTTTCTAGCGCTTCGTAAAGTGAGAGGTATCTACGACGCAGGGTCTACTGGTCGTTGATAGCACGTAACAACTAAAGTGAAAATAATCGAAATACGTAGGATTGCGGGTTTTTCGTATTCTCATGGATATTAGTTAGTTGTTATATGATTACCAATCAATTGATCGATGTCGAAATTGTCAGACGTCTGCTATTTAATCAATGCATTTATTTTTTTCTGGATGGTAGAGTAGTTGTTGTTATTACTGCCATTCCACTGATGACCCATCATCGAATGTCTAGAAAATTTAATTTGCAAATATCTGCGCTATTAATTATGCCCCTTCAAAATTTAGCGCAATCCATGAAGCCGTAGATAAAAAAAATGACTCAACTCAAATGAAATAAGGCCAATTTGTCTTCTCGATTCACCAAGCGCAAACATTATTTTAAAGAATATTTAGCCATATTTCGAAAATAGCATTTTATGACTAATGATTCAGCCGGATCGAAAAAGTCCAATGGTCCAAAGTCATAGAATGTAACATCTATTTAACATTTGTGACAGCGTGTAGGATTAATGAATAAGGGCCCTAAAGCTTTAGACATCACAACAACAAAGTAGAAAATAACACTGGGCTACTATGTATCTATAGGTCAGCATTTGAGGGCATAGCATATTTCCTAATACACTTAATGGTACCGAAAACGGCTTCTGCTCCACCAGCTACAGAGTAGTAAGCAGTGTGGCTGAAATAACTAGGAACCAATCCCATCACTATTCCTGTCACGCTAATAGAAACATCGCTCGGCATGCGTTATGGCTCCTCGGCTGAACACATCTTCTGATTTTGTTAGTACGGCAATTAATCATGATCATTTATGTCGTTCTCAGACAGCAAAGACGAAGATGGTGTCTTCTCGAGGTGCGTCGTCCGACGACGACGAGGAAGAGCAAACCCTCCACTTCAAGCGTCTGTCGTATGACGCGCAGCGTCTCCTCGAGGTTGAGGGCGGATCATGCTTAGCTGTACATGACAAGGTATCAATGGCCTACGATTTGGAGTAACCTATGACCACCTGAAATCATACTGATTTGATAGAATTTTTGTTTTTTTACAGTTGAATATTCTGTAAACGCCAAGGTGAATCAAATTCACAAGTGTTTATTAGTCTGCTACATATGATGACCAAAGACACAAAATTTAATGATTGATTACCTTGGAAATGCGTGGCTGTACCTTTTTTTATAGCTCTTGCCGGTCGCTATATCCTAATGTTATCATTTCGTGCCACATTTGTTGTAAAGTTTCTTTTAGTAGGCACGCAGGTTGGCAACATACACATACTGGACCATCAAGGTAACCGCACGAAAACTCTAACCACCCATACGACGCCCGTTAGCCACATCTCTATCGATGAGAAAGGTCTGTATTTGAATTCAGACTCAGTGATACTTTATACAGTGTTTTTAAACAGCATACATACACCCAGGTTTACTCGATTGACAAGCAATGCTGCAACTGAACAATAATCTATTTCATGTCTCCGAGGTTCTGTCGCTAGTATTTAGCGGAGACATTTCACCAAAAAATGCCCCTTTAAATGGCTTCCATCCATCAAGTTCGATGCAGGTCGTATTTTACCGGCAGCGATGTGCGTCGTTAACAAATACTACCAAGTAAGTCATAATATGATTGCGACGCTTTTCAGGCGAGCATATGGCATCTTGTGCGGAAACTGGTGATGTCGCCGTGCACGGTACGGCCTCGCAAGAAACTAATATTTCATTTCAATTTAATGAGCCAGTATACTTCTGCGTATTACACCCACACTTTTCGAGTGATAGTAAACGTCGATTTGTTATCGGTACTGACAAGGTGAGTTAGATATACTTTCCCATATCAAACTTTCGGGTAACTGTAGGTTTATCTAAGATAATGATGACCCTTTACTAATATTTATTGCCCTTTATATATTCAATCACGTTTGTCGTATGTTGTGTATGGATGCATTTTATTTGAAGGCACATCGTTCAAACGAAGAATCCTCTGTATCCTTCAATAGATTTTTCAAACTAATACTTTTTTATTCCACGCCTGAAGAAAGACGTTCGATGGTATTGATTCTAAAATAAGCATTTTACCAGTATATATATAAGTTCTTTTTCTTATCTTTTTTTAATTACAGATCATATATTACCAGAGGAACTTCTTCAACCACTACAAGACTTCCATCCTCCACCAGGGTGAAGGCGCTGTACGCACCTGTAGTTGGAATAGTCGTTTTGCAGCTTTTGCTACAGATATATCGGTAAGAATAGATATACTTTAATCATTATAGTCGACTGATAAGTGCGCGTATGTTTCACCGAGGAGCACATAATGCAACTTTTGCCTTCTCCCTTCGGTACCGTTCTGCCGTTAAGCATTGCTTCGGAGAGTGCCGAAACGATAAGCCTAGCTTGTTAAGACTAATTATTTCTTTACTAGAGCTAAAAACTGGATTATTCGGCTTAAAGCGCATTTTTCTATTTACATACAGTGTGGACGTTCTTGATAGGATATAAAACTTAACATAATCACTTATGTATTATTCCGGCAACTTTACAGGTAGTTGTATTCGACATGACAAATATAGCTGTGATCTGCAAGTTTAAACGTGATCAGGCGCCAACACGTCATCCCGAATTTTACCCCTCTCGACTAGCCTGGATGGATGAGCGTCAGCTGCTCGTCGGCTGGGCAGATCGTATCTCTTTGTGCAATATCAAAGATAAGGTATTTGATCAGCTCAACTAAACTCCATATGTTGGATATAACTATCAAATATGCTTGGTTAATGGTCAATAATCAAAAAGAAACAATGTTATTCATTATTGAAAATGTCACATTGATTGGCTATCTGCATCGATTTGCTTTCTTCCGTTTGCTTTTACCGAAACGACGAGATGATACGAGCACAGTCGTCTACTTCAAGCTTCTACCTAGAGATATCATCGATGTTCACTACTGATGACATCTTTGTTTGTGGATTAGCTCCGTTCGGCTCGAATATAGCTATCCTCGGCACGGAAAAATTGGCCGACGGTTGGGAAAACACGACTCAAATGCTTTTTCAGCTGCTCGAACCGCACAATAAGTATTGTACACAGGTCAGCGCAGTTCCTATAACTAACCATTCGTTGAAGTCGAACCATGCGGCAAAAAACATAATCGGCACGCCCTAAACGACGATTCAATCGTGCTCTCTACTACGACTAAGTTCTATGGTGCACTGTATTTATATGTAATGAATATCGTATTGCGTAATTAAAAATGACGAAAAGGTATCGAAGGATTTTTGTAACAGATCGGAAACCTCTGATCGGATATGACCTGTGATCCTTTCAGTTATCATCCAACAGGATACCGTTAAATATGACCTCAAAGCTACGCACGAACTTCATGCTGAACTGTTTGACCAGTGAGCAGAGGTGCGTAACTAAGGTGCAGCTAGAAGCTTCAAATCAAAAGTCAATAGAAAAGAAGTTTGGTAGTCATGTAGCATGATATTGTTATAAAATCAAGTGAGAACAAAGGGATTTATTAAAAGGTTCAAATGACTTCGATAGAGGTGAATCTACGTAAGCTAGTAACTGAATAGTGTGCCATCCTCGCTGTTTTCTTGGTGTGCAGATTCTTCATTCTCAGTAATTCGGAACTTGTTGTAATACGGTTTGCGGACAAAGACGAGCACATTGATCGTCTCATAGGAGAAAAGGTAAAGTTAGGTTACACGCCTCTAGCTAGGTCCGTTTGGAATTTTTCTGATATTTGTCATGGGTAGTTGTGCTTTGCAATGACCCGGTATATATGTTCGTTAATTTCATACGATATAAGAATCACACATTTTTTATTATCATTTACACAGAAATACGAAGAAGCAATGCAGGTGATGGTCAATTGCAGTGACGAAATCAAGCGACATGGACAACTTTCTGTAGGAAAATCTTACCTTAATCATCTGTTGGAAACCGAACGCTATGCAGAGGTAAAAGAAAATGCAGGAATTGCCTCTGTATTGGTTTCCTTTCCGCTTTATCCGTGTCTGTTATTTAAACAGTCCGAGCTTATTGGCCTCGCAGGTACTACTATTTGTGTCGCATTAACTCAAAGAAGTGTAATCGTAGGAGAAAGTCTTCAAAACTTAGCATAAAAAGAAACTACTTTTTATTGGAGATTTGGCATTTATTTAAAAGTGTATGTATATTCCTTGTTATTCTATATTATTATGCAACTAGTTATGAGACTGATGATCAGTGTGCAAGGAAGGTCTTGTCTATTATATATATATATATATATATATATATACATATGTATATATATATATTATAATGTGCAACGATTATAGATACAAATATATGTTATTTTGTGATTTGGTTATGGCTTGTAACTTTTCACTAATTCAGTACAGACCATCCTATTCAGCGTCGAGAATTACGTGATTCTAACGAGAATGTACACCAATCGTAAGCAGAACGAAATCGAGCTTAAATGAAAACGACAGCGACTTCTGAAATTAATAATGGCTTTTGTGTTCTAGGTTGGTCCATTGGCTCAAAGGATCTTCGGGTCTCAAACCGACCATTGGGAGGATCAGGTTTTCTCACTGGCCAACCGTAGACTTTGCTATACTGTTGCACACTATATTCCGTGTACGTTGCGAGTTAATATTAAACATAATGTTTATAAACAAGATACTAAAGTATCGAACCAATTTGTTAAATGCTTAATCACACAACGTTGTAATAGCAATAATTAAAAAAACTTCACTTATGAAATTATTATTGAAATATAAGTTAAAACGGATATAAAGAATATAGAACGGTAGTTTTTGTTTAAAAATATTCTCATAAATACCGTGAAAAAATCTTGCCAGTAATCCATTGATAAATACACTTATTAGAATTTTCGTGAAATTTATATTTACTAAATTAAAGAGGTCCTTGCAAACATCGTACAGTCTGCGAGATCCGATAATGAGAGTTGGAATTTACGGTAGACTTACTTATATGTTCCTTACATGCTAGCGACCAAATACACGTCGCTATATGAGGTGGATGAATATAGTGGGTCTTTGTAGTATTAGGGAACGGACAACAAGGGTGCGGTAGAAGTCGTCCAAGCGAGTCCGCCTAGTTACCTGGTGTAAGCTATCTCGTTTAGGCGACCATTTTCTTAATGAATCGTGCAGGTGTCGCCACGAAAAAGCTGCCTTAATCGAAGTTTTGGGGTATATTTGATTGTGATTAATGATTTTTAGGCCAACGCGACAAAAAGCTGAGTTCGGAGGCGTACGAAATTATTTTAAACGAGTACATACACACGCGACCTAACGAGCTACCGAATCTGATCCGTCGATGGAGAGGACTTTACTCCTTAGAGACAATTCAGAACGTAATTGAGGAGCGATTTAAATATTCCCCCGATGTGTATCTAGAGGAAGCTATCGGTGAGCTATATGTACTATGGATTAACCAATGATGATGGATAATAGGGTGATACATTGTACATAAAAAATATTACATGCAGCATTTTTTCGAATTATGAATTTCATGGATTGTTGGCAATGCCCAACTCTATGCTCTCTAAATCATACATATAACTATATTATTTGTTAATAGAGTTTAGTTCGTGCTTTATATCCGGAAAAGTAAATTCTAATTCCTTTGTTGTGTCTTTTGTGACAGGTCTTCTAAAAACTGACCAGGGTCAATACGCGGATGCCCTAGACATTTTCCTAAAAATAGGCTTGGGAAAAGAAGCTATTACCCTCCTACATAATAAGTTTGACTTCCTCAAGGATCGGCTTCTTCAGTGCCTTCTTCCATTCATGAAAGTTGATCACAAAGAGGCCGCAATGTTCCTAGCCAAGCATAATTACTATTCTGTCAAGCAGGCAAGCATAAATGATGCAGTTGCTCTCTCTAGCAATCGTGAATAAATTCATCGTTGAAAATAGATGATCACCAGCATCTACTACTGTTTATAACAGTGCAAATAATTGTGAATTTTGCCCGTTATATTTTTATAATCAGCTCAAGTACTGTCTGCTAATGAATATGGCTGCGCAAATGGTATTTTGTTCTTGTTTCTAGGTGAGCGATCAGCTGCGGCATCATAAGGAATACTTGCTCGAGTACCTCCTTTGCAAATTCACTAAGGATCCACAAGCATTGGACGAAGGGTTCCATGACTTATTAATGGAACACTTTGCAACGGATGGTGAATTCGCGTTGCTACAATTTTTTAGGTAGGCTTTTAATTTTTACTTGGCGCCCTTCTGGATCTTTGAAAAAGAAGTAAATAGGTCATATTGCATTTTAAATTTAGATCTACCAATATCACCATAGATTTAGAGTACTTAATCGCGTTTTTCACGCGATTAATTATAAATCAAATATGACATCTATGGATATGTACATTTATTCTAGTCGTATGCGCAATCGCAACTTTCAGGAAGTCAAACAAGTTCTCGTTGGAGAAGGCCCTCGAAATTTGTGAGAAGAATGGACATCTGCGTGCTACCGCATACCTTTACGAGCGGATGGGCTCATTAAAAAAGGCACTGGCAATAATCACCGAAGAGGTGAGCCCAGTAATTTTTTAGTGGTCTCTCAAAAACTCCCTTTAAATATGTTATATCTTGCTTAAAATTATTGCCAAAATTCAGAAAAAAAGATTTTTCGACAAGGTACGGTAGCGTCTTACCGCGAGTGGGTCTACGCTACAAGCACTAACTTGTAACTAACTAATAAGTATCGAATAAGATATACAATATAAATTGCCGATTCTCGGCCTGACATTTAGTGCACTGTCGCTAGTAAATAGCTAAACCCTTTTTTTTAGAGAAAAAAAAGAAGTTGTAAATTAGCAACTAATTGATTGGCGGTACGTTTTTCCTTCATCGATACTTACCCTTCAAGCTGAGGGATGTGGAACAAGCGATCGAGTTTTGCAAAGACCAAGACCGGGAAGACCTATGGACCGTGTTGACCTCCTTCTGCGTAAAGCAACCTGACCTTCTTACAGTCCTTTTAAGTCGTATCGGAAACTATATCGATCCGACAGGTGTTATTGAAGCCATTCCGCCCGGTCTCCAGGTACAATCTAATATACAAAAGATTATCTTATTCAAGCCTAGACTAGGGAGCAAATGGAGGAGAGAATTAAGGGGACCAAAGTTGGGTACCGGATAGCGAGGGGGAAGGTTATATGGAAGAAGTAAAGAGAAGAAAGGACGGGACAAAACGAAATAAGGGAATACAAGAAATATCTATACGGTAAAGAGTAATTACTTAATTTTTGTCCAACGATCATATGATTTAAGGGTTCTTACTTTTATTTGCCAGTGTTTAAGCACAAGTATATTGAAGTGCATGCGAAATACAACTTTCACTAAGGCTTAACTTGAAAGCTGTATTTAAAGCTTTTTACGTTGCATACTGTTAAAGTAAATCAAACGGTAACCGTTCCAAAATGCATGAGTTTTTTTGCTCAAGTTGTTGAATGAAGCCGTAAAAAATTTCCAAAGTGAATGCCAAGCGAATGTTCATTAACTTTTTGATTAATTTACTTGACTACGAGTGACGCTTTTAAAGATTCAGTTGCTAGCAGTACCCACTACATTTGATAGGATCTCTCTTTTTGTTGGAACTACGAAGTAGATTCTATCCGCTAAAAGATGTCTGTTTTTTTCCACGAAGCGACCAAAATAGTGTCCGCATTAGTTTGAGTCCAGAACAATAGCTTATGATGTACAATGTAAGCATCTTACGCCGAGGATGTTTTTCGCATGTAATCAATGATATTACATCCGTTTCACGTCCTATCACTTTTCACTTACAGATTCCTAATCTTCGCGATTCTTTAGTCCGGATCCTTCATGACTTCAAGTTACAAATTGCTTTAAGAGGAAGCTCGAATAAGATTTTTGAGAGTAATCGCTGTACGATGTTCGAAAGGCTCCACGACGTCCGACGGAAAGGCATCTCTGTAACTGAGGATGCTGTCTGCGAAGTGAGTTGATTTTTGATTTTGTTATTGCTGTTTTGTCCATTTGTAGATATTAGTAAATGAAGGATGCATAACAAAAGAGTTCTCTGAATCAATGGTTTTTTTATCCATCGGTTAACCTTGGTAGAATGCCTACGGAAACCTGAGGTTCTTTTCTCCGAAAGCTAGGAAGCCTCATCGATAGGTGGTGTAGTATTTCAATTTCTATCTACATGTGCTTATCTGGCAGCGCGACAAGTACATTCACACACATGTATATAACTATCCATTAGACTATACCATGTCTAGAATAATTAAGTTGTGTGCGATATTTCAAGAATTATTTGAAAACAAACCTGTGTTTTATACAATCTGAAGTATTTTTATTCTACGATGTTTGAAAAGTACAGCGCACGACCTCGAACTCGATAATAGAATAAAACATCTATTTCCAACTGTCAGGGGGCCCCTGATGCAATATAGACCTTAACGCTACTAAATTTAATCAAATTACAATTGTTCTTCTAGTAAGCATCGTAAGTTACATCATTATCTATTGACATTTTTACTAGTTGATTCTGCAGAAGGTCATTAGCAGACCGACATATACTTTATCTGTTCTTGATTTTTATTGTCTCTAGATATGCAATCATCGGATCGTATCTCGGGACATGTCTCGTAGCGTGAGGACAGCAACCTTCGCTTGCAAACATACTTATCACATGCCCTGTCTCGAAGGTCAAGACGAACTCACCTGTTATATTTGCCAGAAGAAAAACAGTGCTGCCAGTGATTTTTCTGAATATTACAACAACTAGTGCGACAAGGAAAATACATCTGATCCTTCAAGAAGATGCAGAGAAGAAACTGTTAATATCAAAATTTTTGTTAGTATAACATAGGACAGACGGCGGACGTGGTACAACAAACATGGAGTCTAATGTTAACGAATTGTTGAAGTTATAAGCACCGACGTCACTAACAACATATAAACTATACAGAAGCGATACTGGAGACTTATTGATGTAAGCATATCGTGTGGCTTAACAGGAAAACTATTAACATCAAAGGCTCTGACTAGTAACGTCTTCTTTTTGCTGTCTTTACTCGTTCAGTGGCAGCTTAAATTAGCCTTGGCCTAGAATCGTCTTTATTGAACTGGTAGAGAATATGCAACACTGCAATTTACAAGGCTATTGGCCATTCTCTCTTCTGACTCACTCTTATTCGTTGAATAAGAGAGATTCGTAAATCGTAAGATTGCATTATCCTCACGTGTACATGGATATCAAAAGATAAACGAATTTGTGAGACAGAAACAGAAGAATCGAAACGGTCTACTACCGTTCTCAAATCTATAACGGTAGCAGTGCGGTATCGGCTACGACAGCAATTGAGTCCAGCGTGTTTTTGTTATTACCGCTGCTGTTGCCGCTCTAGTAGGAAATCATTATTTCTTTAATATAGAAGATGCCTGGTAGATCCGTTTCGAAGTACATCTTCATGATCAGTACTCTAATTATAATAATGTAAATTAACCATATTCGCAAAATCTAACTCTTTATAAAAATTAATTTTTCGTGTATGTACATATACGGTGCGAATATGGTGAAATGATTAGTCCGTTTATAACTTATCTGAAAAGTTTAATATTTGCATGTATCGGCAGTATAAAACTGCATGTGTGTGTGAATGGCCCCTGAAAAAGTATAGTTTCGTGTGTAAAGCCGTTTTTTACAAATAAAAATATTACATTTAAGATCTTGTTCTTTTGATGAACGAATAGGAACCGTACTAAGGACGTCTGCTGGTTGGATGAGTGGGCACTCCACAATGAGCAATTGCATATTTGAGTGCCTTCACATTTCACTGCTGCTCATACTATCAAGACCATCTCATCACAATTATAACCAAATAATTAACTATAAGTAAGAACAACCACTGGTTACTACAAATATATATATATATATTTTTTTTTTTTAATCATAATTATTAAATAACATATGTACACAACGACCATTCAGATATAATACATCCCTTTTGCAACTTCTATTTCAACTCATCATTAAGTCTGTGTTGTTTATATAGTGTCCGTACTCGATCAACTTGTTCTGTATTGACGCCAAATTGTTATATACGCACAGTTTTATCTAACATGCCTCTAAAGTCTCTCTCTTGAGTAGTTTCTGTTGCTCGGCTGTTCCGTATATTAAATCCACTTTCCACAAGCACTCAAAAGCAATAGCATCCATCTCTCACCACTTATTAAACAACACATTGTCGTTAGCAGCATACTTTCCTTCACGATTCTTGTTTTAAATCTCTGTTTAGTAACTTAGCATCATTACATGTCTAATTAGTAGCTAGCTAATGACTTGACTTATATATTATTAAAAACGAACCGTTCCGAAATCGTTCATTTACTCGTTTCACCCGATTTATTCATCATGTAAACGACTGCTTGATATAATGATTGCAGTCCCTTTCGTCACGCGGCTTTTTTTCGGAAAGTCTTCCTAATGCAACCGACGGACACTCATTACCAGGTTGTGCATTCTGCAGAATACCGCAAAAGGTTGGCATGAATCCCATTAAAATCCATCGGAGAATAGCAGATCGAAGATTATTCTCTGCCTATGGTGATTTGTAGTATACTGAACAGTATAAAGATATTGTAATTTATAACATTGCATGCTGATCTGACAGTATGTACGTACACTGCTAGCGGAGTCGAATTCTCGAAGCAGTCGATCGGAGGGTCAAATTAGTCGCCAAAATTTGCAACGGTGAGATGAGTATAGCAACACACCTTGTTACCGTTAGTCGCGTCGATAGAATGGCCTCTGCTCTTTAGACCATCAAAAAGGCTGATTCAATCCCTTTTTATAAACATGTGTTTCACATAATTTTCTTTTTACAACGCTTCGCAAAGCTAATCTTTTAGTGTGCCGTAAGTGAAACATGCTTCAGCAGTAACTAATTCGATTAATTATCAAATACGACGGACTAGAAGAAAAATGAAATTAAAGTCCACGAGAACCCGACAAGGTTACCGCATGGAAAGCCCGATGCGAAAGACCTCTCTTGAAACCTGTACAAACACAAGACAAAAAACACTTGTTTACGAGTCGTCAATGTAGCCTTAAATAACTATCCTGCTTCCTGGCCTTAACCTTGAATGTCATCACTTGTTTTCTAATTGTTTATTTGTTTCGTTACAAAGTGTGCACAGTGCCGATTTGTGGTTTTCATACACACATACACACATGCTTATGATCCTTTGCTCGCTCGATGCAACACTGTCCAACCGTTTTTTAAACGTCAACCAGACGTTCCTTACTACTGCTGGAATCATCGCTCCCACTTGTGCCTACGCCACTGGGCATCCCGACGCTGCTTTTGGAAACTTTTCCTTGAGGGACAAGTGAAGGACAAGAGGATTTTGACATGCCGACGCCGCCTTTAGCTAACCGCTCGTTCAACGCCTTCAGCGCAACTTGCCTAAAATGACACGGATTAAAAGTATGTACAAAAAGATATTAGAAATATGTTTGAATAATAAAACTTATTCTGGAACGATAGCTATAGTACTAATCAGGTTGAAATGGCAGTCGCATTATTGCCGAAATTGCTTAAAATATTTCACTCCGTGTTTTATATTTGGTCTACAGCAGATTATTTATTAAGTAAACTCTCCGTTGAAAAATACATGAACGCAAACGTTGCTCTGACAAATTTTAGGTTTAATACCGACTTATTTCAATGCACTTGGGTTACTGTGAAGCATCCTGCTAAACGTGACTCACTTTCTCCTTTCGGCATCTTCTGCCGACGGGGGTAGCGTAAGTCCCGCAGGACCTGTCGCGGATCCTACCGCAGCTCCGGGCATCTGTATTGAAATAGTTCCTGGCGCCATGCTGTGAGCTATGTTAAACTTTTTGACGGGTCGTCTGCACAGACCAATCCGAACGAGCATATCGAAGATGGAATTGCACAGAACGGCTACAGGCGGTTGTAGGACGTTTGGAAAGAAGTGGGCAAAGCTAAAATGTTCAGCTGGATCGCCTCGACTGCCATTGGGGTGCGCCTGCCAGAACCGAAGATACAACCAAGCGCTCAGAGACCCCGCTAAAAACATGACTGGGTAAACTGGCCGGAGTAAACCAACAGCGTACAAGATGACAGTCAACATAAAGCCTAAAACAAAGTTAGTAGAGAGAGAAGAAAAACGTTTATGAAGCACAGTCATCGTTAAATAGTTAGAAAAGTAAGCAAATAGAGAGCTTTTCGGTGACTCCCTTATCGAAAGAACAGAAGAGCCAATAAACACAATCGAAATGTGTCTTATCCTCCTTGTTTAAAACAATAGTAATGCTTAAGAACGAGGTTTCTATACCGCGTGACCGTCACTCTGCACATTCAGTTAGAAAACGAAATTACGATATGAACTTCTTTTTTCGGGGGGACTTAAAACTTGTGAGGAGAATTAAGTGACAAAAAATTGCTTATACAATATTACCGTTTGCAAGAAAATTACATCAGATATCTCCTTTTAGAGAAAACAAGTCAACCTGACCGTAGTAACATTGTATACTCATTGTTTCAGACATCAATGTGAAGATGTCGTTTAAGGACATCAAGCCTTATTTTTACAGATTTGCTGCCGTACCGTGCAACTTTAATCAGCTTTTTTGCAGCTGCATTAGTATCCTCAACAATTCTCTTCTGTCCCCAATCCGATGTCAATGATTGTTCTAATTAACTACTATCATACGTTCATATACTACGTTCATATACTATTGTATATTGCATATAATTTGGTCGATCGCAGATCCTAGAACGTACCACTTAGTGGCATGTTACGGTTTCGTAACTTTCCCATACGCGGAAGCGTCACGAGAACATGATCAGGCATTAATTGTTTAACAGCCACCAATGTAGCGGCTATATATCCTGCCATACCATGCACGGTTACAGAGAATAACAGGGCCGTGTGACCCGTTAGCCAATACAGCGCGATCAGGTACACCACAGACAGAAAAGCTGTCGACACGTTGACTACGCAGAAAAATAACACCACCTACGGAAAGTCAATAATATAAAATTGTCATTAATAATTGTTTTCGTCATTCTAATACTAAGCGGCTAGATTAACTTACTTATTATATATATAGATCGAATAAAGTATATTTGAAACTTAACAGAATAAGAACATTATTCATTACAGTTAAGGAAAAGAATAGAAGAATGGAAACACCCACCTCTGCGTTACCCCACAAAGGTTCTACCAATTTTCCGTATAGTGTAATAGCTACGAGATCTTCCACTAACATAAGAATCGAATCTTCAAAGAAACAATGTGTCAACAACGTCCAAACGGCGAAATTCGGTGGCATTATCTCACTGAAATAAAAATCAAAACGAAAACAACGTTTGAGTTCCGTCTAGTTATTGTTAAATACGTGCGGGTATCATATATTATAATGCGCGTAATCGGATTAACCAAATACGATGACAGATGTTAAGAAAATCTGCGTAGCCGTAGATGAATGCGTATTTCTTTTTATTGGTCTCTGACATTTTTTTTATTTCTTAGACGTTATTTTCATTATCTCTGTGCATCATCGACGTTATGGTACTTCCGTTCATTTAAGTTCTCCTTGAACTGGCAGACAACTCGCCTGACAAGGCTCAAAAAAAGATTGATCCTAAATCACTCAAACTGAATGCAAACTCGTTTCTAGGATAAGCACGTATAATCTATTCAATGATATTTAATAACAAAATAATTATATTAGTTCCTTTGGCTTGTCGATACTTGTTAAACTGGAACACTACATAACCTACGAGATACTCAACTCTACTATATTGATACCGTTATATTAATAAATTATAATAAAAAAATAAAAATAAAGTAATGGCAGAATGAACAATAACCCTAATAGGTTTAGTATATACAACGAATCATACAAGTTGTTTCCGTACATACAAAACACATATTTGTAGTTTTGTCCTGACATACAATCCTGTACTTACTGCTGGTAGACCGATTTGGCAGGTACGTTTTTTCGTTTACCTGTCTTTGACTTTTACACATATTTAAACATGTTTTTGTAGAAAAGACCCCGCTAACCTTTTAACATACTTTGCTTTACGTCGCTACGCCACCTGAATACTTCAACTATTTACATGCTTCCTTACCGTTCATGTTATTACAAATTAACCACATTAACCATTCCATTTCCCTTTCGGAGCTTTCCATACTAATCGCCCTAAGCATGTCACGCTGCTATTTCAGCTTGTAAATAAAAATGACTATCTTGTTATTCTCTGTGAACTGCGACCTCTAGCGACCGCTACTAGAAGACGGAATCAAAGCAGAAATCAGAACAGAAGTGGCTAACATTTGTTTATTTGTTTGTTGACTATTTCGCTACAACTGGATTCGGCTTTCAAATGAATTAGAACTCTACTATTAGCTAACAGATTTCACAAAGCTCATAATTTAACGTTGTCTTCTAGCATCCTTTTACTTTACATTCTATTTTTGTACCTGTGCAGTGAACAGTTTTTGAACTAACCAGGGAACGGAAACTTCCCATCATGCAAGCAAAATACGCTGTACACCGAAAACCCGCGTGACATATTATTGTTAATGTGCTATTTCAGAAAGCTAGCTCATTGATCAACCCACTCATAACAGTCCATGGTAAATTGCATCTGTGCATTTCAAATGTCGCTGTGATAAAGTACAAAGAAATGGGACGATCTGCACATTGAATACATAACTTGTTTCCACTTTTGTTCTGCATTCCAATAGTGTATATATTTTTTTTCAACTTATAATTAAAACATGTTATTATCTGCCCGCTAGTTTAGTCTGTTTGTCAAACGTTGAAGTCTATTTTTGATCCATTGGCCAAAAGCGGGACCGACCCACGTACGTCGGCCGAGAGCCTACCTGAACCCAATAGAAGAGCCGAACTCTATTTATTTCAAGGCTGCTATAATTAATTCGCACCATAAACATATATATGTTCCGCCCACCGACTACATGTACCGCTCTTAATTCGTATCCCTTCTCAGCCGTAATCCAAAGAAATCCTGCAATCATTACTGTCGATGTTAGTATAAACACGACGACGAAACTGAGTTATGAAATGACGCTTGTTGCTAAGTCAGAGCTACAGTACCTCCTGACGAGGCCCAATGCAGTTTAGAATAGACCCTAAGACGATTCGCACAGTTATTTTTATTCCATATACTATGTATAATGTCATCGTTGTTGAAATCGTTTTTCGTTTGTCTTGACCGACCTACCTGGGTATAACGCCAACATGAGCCACTAGGTCGTGGCCATAACCCCACGCGAATAAGTAACCTAAAATAAGCAGTCCGCTAAGAACCTTAACAAATCCGGAACAGCTGGAAGTGGCAGCCAACACTTGTGACCAGATATAGGCCACATTTCGTGACAGAACTCCAGAGGCCATCACTGACTGGGTGTTTTGTCTATCTCCGAAGAGGTCTCCTCTTGAAAATAACTTATTATTACACTTGTAAGCGACTGTTCCTTTCGACGACAACCTCACGGTGTAGTTTTCTCACCCCAGAAGTCCGTCTTTCTTACTCGTCGCTTCGGATTGCATAGAAATTCACTCACACGGCACCGTTATCAGTAGACAGCAGGTCAGTTGAACCAAACTACGAAGATGGAGCAGATGATCGCAGATGTTCCACACACTCATACACACACACATATACACGCACGAATCAGCGAACTCATCGGTGAAGTGGCGCAGCCACTCGCCGTGACAATACAGCTTCTCCCTAGCTTTTTTGATGCCGATGATCTCCGCTCCTTTCGCCAATTCAAACTGTTATCATTTTACCACAGCTCCACCCGCAGTTACTATATGTAGTTGATTCTGCCATTTCTATATTGGCTATGTCGATGTTGACGAAGTCGTTCATACAACGAATTGAATTGAGTGGAGGCAACACCAACAATCACAGGCGACCCGGGGACTCTCTTCATTGATAACGATGTGCCCTCGCCTTGGGACCTTGGGACCATCATCTATTTTCGAATTGGGACGTTAAGCGAAGCTACACCGTAGCGCCATTGCCTGAAAGCACGTTACACCGCGGCACTCGATCCTTCTCTTTCTCCTTTTGATGTTGTTGCTTGTTCTCTGTACCCTGTCACAAGTGGCTACTTTGTGTTCGCACCTCCGTTGCTAACTCCGACGCTGTAGCTTCAGGCTGTCACGTCTGCATCACGAATTTTTACGGAGCGATAGGAAACCAGCCAGAAGTCAGCAAACAAAAAAAAAAAACCCAATGGCCACACGACGATGGCAATGATGACAGCTGCGTCGAAACGATCCTTGTTTTTAGGTAAAGCGTATCCCGCTGACTTTCCGAAATGGCTAACTGACCTAGCAGCCGATTCCACACACTGTGTGAGCACGCCTAAGCGCAACTGGAAAGCAAGCTGCAATCTGCAACCTCCAATACAAAACGACACTTGCCGCCAAACAACGGCCTTATAATTTCCTAAGATTTTTAGATTAAAATCGCATCCTATTGCGTTTGGACTCGATACCTGTTGCCACCACGACCGCCCGTGTCGCTGCAGAATTTACTGCGGTCGCTAAGACCGGTAACAAACAACACACAAAGTCTATCGCCCATCACGCCTGGCCGTGCGATGGAACGACTGCGTTGTCCATGAGTGAGCTGCTGCTGCTACAGCTGTTTTATCGTCTTGTTGAAAACTTGAAACCTATTGTTTGTCCGGTTTGTCCGCTGTCAAATGGTATTTGCCACAACTAGTAAAAAGCACGAAAGTGTTGATCGCGTATTCCACCTACATGTCTCTGATCCAATGACTGCTTTTTTGCTGCGTTGATTGGCACTGCCGTTATTAAAATAATTCAAAAGGAAGAACATTCAATACGACACCAACAAAGCGCAAAGGAGGCAGCCGGACAGACGATTATTAGAATCACATTTAGGAGGAAAACTACCTATATTCTGCAGAAAAGAGGTTTCGTCACACCGTTTCGACTGGACAGAACTGACGATGCACGGAAACAATCGGGCAGACGAATATGGCAGCTTACTGGTGTGCCTTTCAAAAAATCTAATACAATTGATAGCTTTTTGCAACTCCAGGGAGCAGTACCAACAACTTGCCTTAATACAAAGGCAATATTAATCGCCTTGGATACGGCGGGGTCGTGTATTGGAAGGAGCGGTCCAGTCAAGAAGACCAATCTAACTAGACAATCCGTCTGTCAGTCTGTTTAAGTATTTAGAATAGCTTCCGTTGGTTCAGGATATAAGGCATGTCGACGACTTTGAGATATCGCAGCTCCAACAATATCAACAACAACCGTAACTGTGCATAAAGCTTGTGTTTATGTCGATGCATGGGATTATGGGAGGGCGCTGAGCACTTGTGATTTTTTGGCAACAGTTTGCCCATGTATAGTTATCACTATGTTAAACGCTTATTGTCTTAAAAGAGACAGACGTTTAAAATAAATTAGTGTACCTGGTACAGAATAATATCGTAGAAAAATTTGCGTTCTGCTAATTAAATTTGTCCGTGTTTGGATACATCGCGTTGTTTCGGTGCGGTCTTACTTGTCGTCTGCTGAACGGCCATCTTTCTTTTCCTGAAAGTGTTTTTACACGGGAGTCACTTGATCCACGTGGAAATGGCTTTAAAGTGAGTTTTCTGTTTGCAGAGGAATTTAGTGTAGTAACTAAAGATTGCATTCGCAAAAATTTAGACGTTTTGATTAAAAACCTGCCCAAAGACGTGTAATTTTTGCTGACGTAGATGTATCTTGCAGTGTGGTCAATACCCGCATGGTCGAATAGCATGCTGATACTTACGACTCAGCAGAAGACAGCAAAATCCAATTCTGCAAAGCCGTGCTCATAAAGAAACGCATATAAATCGGTTTAATATGTTTTTATATACAAAGTTACTGAACAAGTATTTGATGTTTGAGTTAATGAGGATTAAGCAGGGTTCTTTGCAGAGACCACATTTAACAACGACGGCGTCTATGTGCTAATAATTTTTTTTTTGCGTTTCAGATACAATTTGATTGTTGGCCAGAACAAGGGCCATAAGGTGACGAAAAACAAGCATGGCCCGAGGACCTCTTCCCAGCGGGGCAAACTAACGAAGCATGCGAAATTCGTACGGGACATCGTTCGTGAAGTGACCGGCTACGCTCCGTACGAGCGTCGAGCTATCGAATTGCTTAAGGTAAAATTAAAGATCATACGAAAATGACAGTGTTCACAACAGTGATACAGTTACAATATGGAATGTGTAATATTGTGTCACACGTACTTTAGGTAAGCGCTGTTCCCCATTTTTCAACATTACTCCGCTATCTGCCCAAGACTATTCACACAGAATTTTGGTGCCAAATAGTATTATAACGCGGCTGTGAGTGATAATTGACATAGGGTTAAAATGATGATACAAGAAATCTGTCTAATTGTTTGACCAACAAATTACAAAAAAAAATTATCTTCCAAGCAGCAATTTTCCACTGTACACACGTGTTAGCAATAATAATAATCATAAGCTCAAAGAGCTGTTTGACAAATGTTCATTACACTTCGGAGGACTCAGATGCGTCAGGTTTGATATATTATGTAGCAATTATGAGTAGACAGTAAGGTATACGACTCTTTTTTGATTTGCATGGGTTTATCGATTACATTTCTGAAAACCTGATCAGATTTTGTTGCTGACAAAAAATCTTACATTGATGTTCTTGTTATATTACTGTTCTAGGTGTCTAAGGACAAGCGCGCACTTAAGTTCCTTAAAAAGCGTCTAGGCACCCACCTTCGCGCCAAGAGGAAAAGAGAGGAGCTGAGCAATGTCCTCGTCCAACAGAGGAAGGCCGCAGCCGCTGGCCATAAGTAAATAAACTGGCGGACCCGTTTCGCCAAAAGCGATGTCGACATAATCAGACGTCGTTTTTTCACTCGTATTTGAACAGTGTTCTCATTTAGTGTTTAGAAAAGGATGAAATCAGAAATGTGTGAATAGAGTAGACAAGGGGTTTAGCATTGATTGGTCAATAGATTCTGGCAAGTATCAATGATGGCGGTAGACAACGACGAACGCCGTGTTTAAGCACGAATTGTATTGGAATATTCAAACGGTTCAAGTACACATGAAAGACTATATGTCACACGTACTTGCACAGCTTTCCTTTGAGTGATAAGCTTCAAAATGCGCTTCGGCATCCCAAGGTCGTAACACCCATTTTGAAGCTTTAGCATGAAAAGACTGAAGAAGAAAGAAAAATAGTGATACTTGAAGTAAAATCTCTCAGGCTGCAAGCTAAGGTGAGATAGGTGTTGCATACCAAACTTACGGCTCGGATGAAGCCTTGCTAGTTAAATTCAGACTACTACTTCTATTAAACTCCAATTTAATTGACTTTAGGCTTTCGTCGATTTGAACCCAAGCGTTGACACAACTCGTGTTGTCATGATAGCCAGTCGTTTGATGTTAGCTGCGATGCTGAACGTAAAACTCGAAACATTTGGACCGTCTAAGCTTGTTTGTTCAAATTAGCAGGTAGTGTAACTTGTTTATCATTGTTTCATTTATTCGTGACCTTTTGAATGATAACCTTTGAAATCATAATATCTGATAACTTAAAATTGGTGAATTAGATTAAATGTAGGAAGCTTTTTCCAGACTGCTCTGAAAAATCGGAACAAGGTTACGATTAATAATGTCTCATCAAAAAATTCAATTATAAAGTTCTATCAGAGCTGGAAATAGAATCAGCACATGGCACTCATTGAATACATTGGTTTGTACAAGATATCTATTAATACACCTACATATATACCAATCTACATCAGGCCTTACTTGGATGGTGTCTTTTTAATAAACCACAAGTAGACTTGACGAAGAAACGAGCTATTAGGATCTAATTGACACATGCTTCGCCTTTGGACCAAGTACCTGGCTACTTTTGCAAAGTTACAAGTTTTGCTACTTATTTGTGTACGACATACAATTGTCAATCAATGGATTGCTTTGACAGATTTGCCTGTATAGTGCATCCGAGGAGAAATCTACTGTAGGCTCAAGTATCATGCGTTACTGCTTAGCTGTTCCGTTTCGTTCCAATTTTCTGTGATGACAATTCTATCCGTCTCTAATATTCCAGTAATAAATATCATTTCCGGCAACAGCCTTGAGGATATACCTAATCATGATTTCACGCTTGTGGAAAAACGTAAATTTTAACTATGGTAACCTATGTACTGAATTTTGCGTGTAATTCAAGCCCATATACATAATCATTACTATAACCATATATATATTCTAGATAGGCCGGATATGCTTACGGACAGATTGCGTAATCTTATTTGAGGATTAATCGATATGAGCCTGTCCAGTTGAAAAATCAAGCCTCAACAATATTGAATGATAAATCTATATCATTAAACAATTCTGGCTATCAGAAAACCGACCGGTGCAGAACCTCATTACCTTCGTATATATCCTATAATATCAATCGTGATAATTCGTACGATTTCTTAAATATATTTTTTTTATAATTACGTGTTTGATCGCACTTTTTGTTATTTTGTACTTATGTCATACCTCACGCCGGGTAAATGAGATGAAATAATGATAAAAGAAGTTCTCCCCGTCGGGGAATCGAACCCCGGTCTCCCGCGTGACAGGCGGGGATACTGACCACTATACTAACGAGGAACACGACGAGTGCATTTACTCTAAGAACATCTACCATGTCGAAGTATACTCAATCAAACGAAAATGATCTAAGTAAAGAATTTTACTCAATCAATTAAAATTTTAGGTTCCATGGTATATTCGATAAAATATATTCGATTCTTCTACGCTAAAGTAATTGTTTTTGACTAAACTTGTATCTATGACGATCTCTAGCATACGAACGAAATTGGAAACATTGATCATGTCATCATCTTGAACGAGCATTCGCGAGATAACGACTATGATCACTTTGCCGAAAAGCCGTGAAGTTATGATGGAGATCATCGTCCGGATTAATAGTTTTGTGCGTTAGTTTTTATAACTTTGTGCGTTATTTGTCAAATAGTTTAACCTTAATAAGATGCTAGTTCTTCTTCTTAATAAGTAACAAACCAGCAGAGTGACTTACAGTGAGAACAGCTTTACCCATGGCAGTAACTGTGAAGGTTTGTAAACAGACGATAAACAGACAACAGCAAATTTATTGACACGATATTGAGGTTGACTGAATTTTATGGTGTCATTCATAATTGTAGACATGCTAACCTGTACTCTCTAAACGTTTTATTAGATTATAAAAATTATCCTAATACTTAGGCGTACAAATAGAGTATTTGTCTTGCGTAGATCTTTAGTATAAAGACAAATGAAAGTGCGGCGTTAAAGTTGATTATTAATCAGGCAAATAGTAAAACAGCCGATAAAAGTGAAATAACATTCTGTAATGACGTTAAATGCTGTTTTTTATTGAAAAAAATTTAGGGATTTTTAAAAGCATCTGTATTAAGGCATAAGGGAAATTAGGAATATACATGTTTGATGTGTGTAGTTGGCCAATACATATGTGGAACATGAGGATACAATTTTCCAGCTTTCTGATATATTTTAAACATAACATAAGGGTTAAACATAACCTGACAAAACCCGCAGAAGTACCTAAGTGTCAGTTTTGCCCCAGAGTCCATATGGAGTGGAAAGCAAAAGATATTTATCTTCATGTGGCATGGTTAAATTAAGTTTAGCAACACCGAAGTCCGCAAAAAGCAATACTGTTATGCCTAAGTAGGCGTCTTGGCAACATGTACAATTTATGTCCTCTTTTCAGCCATTATCTGGGGTGGCAGTTATTTTCGGAGGCTCAAGAGGCATAGGCGCCGCGTGTACTCGGCTTTTCGCTCTGGAAGGCTGGAAAACTGTTGCAGTTGGTAGGAAACCAGAAAATCTTCAATGGATATCATACGAAAAGGTTCGCAACGGTTCATACCATACAACGTATTTTATCAATATTCAATTTTTTTATCCATGAAAATAGAGTGAAATTAAAACCTAGGCATATTGCTAAAGCTTGATGATTGAGAAAGTCAAGAGCCAATTCTCTAAAGAAGTGAATTTTCTTTTTCTACTCCACTACCCTTTTGCTGGAGCTTAACGCAGCTATTGGTTTTGAGGTTTAGTAAAGAATATAAAAAAAAAAAAAACTTATCTTTGCTGTTAGTGTACAGACACAAATACATGCTCACCTATTGGGGTGTATTTACTTAAAATATTCTCTTTATACGTAACGTCTTAGATAATCATTATTTGCCCTTATCGTTCCAGGCTCCGGGAAGGGACCTGCATGCCGAAGTTTGCGATATAGCAGATGAAGATAAAGTCAAAAGCACAGTAAAAAATATCGAAGAGTCACACGGACCCATATATGTCATAGTGAATTGTGCTGGTACCTATTCTTATTGTACTATAGATTATTCTAGGTAAAATGTTACTAAGCTGCTTAGATTTTTGAAAACTATAGAATAAAGGAAAGACCATAGAAAAAATAGATATAGCATTTTAAGCACATTTGCTTGTTTGTTTGAGCATTGTGCATTGTAATAATATAATCCTGTAATAATATAATAAATATATAATATAATAATATAAAAAGGTTCATTATAGATAAATTAGGGGTGTTATACATGTTACTCGATTATCAAAATAAAAGCGATTAAGCCTACAGATTTCAAAGCTTTGTAACTTTTATATTTTAGTGCCTCGCAGCCGAGCATGTCAAATGGTACAGTCCATTTTGTAGTTTACATTATCATTTCTTTATTAATATTGCATTACTACAGGTATTTCAATGAATAAGCTGTTGGTCCAATCGTCTGCCGATGAGATACGATCCGTAGTGGACACCAATCTCCTTGGTACAATGTTTACTTCACGTGCAGTTCTTAGATATATGCTCCGAAGAAAAGCAGGCAGCATAATCAACATCGGTAAGTACTGAATACATTTTTGCAGAACCATTGAGCCTCTATTTTCAACCAACAGCTACTTGTGTAGAGAATCTTTAAAACATATAGAGTGTTGTGAAAACTATGTCCGTCTAATTATGTTTCGTTGTTTCCTTGACGCGCCGCTCTAAAACGTAGGAAGTGTTGTCGGCCATAGGGGTAATTCGGGACAAACTGCCTACGCTGCTTCGAAGGCAGCACTAGGAGGGTTCACCAGATCGCTGGCCAAAGAAGTTGCATCGAAGAACATTCGGGTCAACATGGTATCACCAGGTAAATTATGTATTATCACAATTGATTAACGATAACGTAAGCGCAACCACACAATAAGGTAATAGAAACAACAGGCGTTAGCTTTGTGTATGTAAAGGTGATATGATTTAAATTACCCGTTTTTATCTAGTACATCCAGGTTAATGTAAGGCATTTTATAGCAAACATTTAATGATATCACGCTTTTCCGATGAATAATTCTCTAATGAAAAGAAAACATTTATAATAGAGTTATTTAATGTCGGACGGTATGTGTGAAATAAGAACTCCATGAAGATGCTTTTTCCCAGCATATGAAACCGAAAACAAAATTTGTGTTTTAAGATCCCTCGTCTCAGCAGTAATTTCGTTCGAGTTTTGCCTTTACTGCCTTCGATTCGAATGATTTCGGTTTGCATCCAATTATGAAACCGGAATTTCTGGTTTAGGAAGGTTTACTAATAGATGTGTCCGTGTTTTTTTGTCTTATAGGCCTAATCGCTACTGATATGATATCAGGTGTTAATGTCTCAGCCATTAAGCCCCAGATCGCTTTGGGGAGACTTGGGGAGGCGGAGGAGGTCGCCCGAGTAGTTAATTTCCTTGCCACTAAAGCCAGCTATATTACTGGACAGGATGTGCCTGTCTGTGGTGGACTGAGTATTCAAATGTAGATAAAAATGAATGGACAAGATTTTTAGGAAAAAATAGTATAATGTTAGCCACTATTAAAAAAAAATAAATGTTTGTTAGCTGTCCTATTGAAAAATTACTTCAAAAGAAAAAACATTTTGTTGTTTGATCGTAGTACTAACATGACAGCTCAGTATTTATTTAAAACGTACGCCGCTCCTTTTTGATTGTTACGCTGCACCTGCAATTGTAGGGTTAGACATAAATATAAACGTCCATTATTTAAAATAGTTACAACTTTATGTTGCATGGCACGTTTATATATATCTTTTTCAGAATGTTCAAACTTCGAAATTCTATTAGTAATTTTTATGGCTTGCTGAATCCAACGATGGAAGATTTTTTGTTGTGATATTATTTTGTGATACTATGTCGTGCATCTTTTTCATAAAAAGTTTTATTTGTCGGAATCGTTTAACTCGATAATTCTGCAATCAGAAGTATAAGCCGATTTTGGCATACAGCATCTTATTCCACCAGTTTTGTTTGTTCTTTTTTAAAAAAAGGAAATCAGCTTTGTACAGGCAGCTGGATTATTCACACAGTGATAAACCATCAACGGCAGTAATTATGGTTTAATGCACGCAGATAGTCATCGAATTGGTTTCAGTTATGGCAAAATAAGAAAAATCTTAACAAAAAAAAAGCACGACGAGCGCACCAGATACGCTATAGTACAATATACTGGTATTTTCAGGTGACATTTATAGAGCATGTTGTATGAATTATTAACCATAGGGCTTAATTACCTCAATTTCTATATTATTCATAGGAATAATCATTTCAGTTCATAGGAATAAGAACGTCACCACGAACAACAATGAATTATTCATTGTTGTTATCTAACTATATGAAATCGTGCAAAGATAGTAATATTTGTACCCAATAAAAAGAATTATTATGACTTGATTCGGGCTGACGCAGGTTACCCGAGAAAACTTTAACGAGAACAAGTATTGCCTTCTTGGTAATGATAAGGCAAAACGCAACTTTTGTAAGAAGCAAGCCTGCGTCGAGTATTATTCAGCATAATAATTTTTGATAGGCTGTTACGAGTTCCATTTGTAGACATTTCTATGCTGCCGTACACTTATTTAATGTTTGAAAATTATGCATGTGGCAAGATTAAAAAAAATTATAGAAGGAACAATATTCGGTTCACCAAAGTCATGGTTGAATGTGGTATCCATTAACGGATTCTGTGATCTAGAACGCACTACCGTAATAAGGCATCTCAATTACTTTTTCTAAAGAATTTTAAATTTCGCTTAAAACAGTGGACGCTCTAAATCTTCATCATATGATGCACACAATTTATAAGGTACGGCATGGCGGAGGTGATTATTCAAAAAGGTTAGCTTTGATAGAAACATACGGAAATCGTATCATGTTTGCAATTATTAAACAGGTTAAGTGTTTGTTTTCCAATGTCGTCCATTCTGTAGCTGTACATAAGACACGGTAAATAGATTTTTCATCGTTCACTTTATGTTTATTTGCATATATTTGTAATATGTACCTATTTACGAATATAATCAACACAGCTTATCAACGTTCTGAATTAACCAGCAGCCTTCAAGCTGCGTGAAGCGCAGAACTGCAACCTAACTAAAAAGTTGATACGAAAAGACATTCAAGGATCTTCGGCCAGAGTCAGTCAAAGGAAATCTGCTCTATCTGATTGGACGTCATGCTGCACGGCTAAGTCTACGGCTTTCTAATATTTATTAGTTTTGTATGACTATACTTTTAACTGGCTTAAAATTTTTAATCAATATTATACTTAAGGAAATGCAATAAATTATCTCGACTTCTAGAATTCTATCCTGTATATTTCGTTATAGACTATATGTCCATATGTCATAATAGTGTCATAATGCCGTAATAGTGTAGTGGGTAGTATTTGCCTTCGGGACACGTTGTGGTTTGAATTTAAACCAGGGCATATAGACAACACGTTTTCTAGGGGAAACCAGCGGTCTGAAGGAATGATGCTGGGTGAAAAATTAGAATATATGTGGCTTCCTTTATATGGCATACAATGTAAATCAAGCTAACTTTAACTAGCATTTTCGTTTGTTATCTATTTGCGAGTTATATTTAAGACTGGAGGAAATCAATTGTGGTGGCAGTACTTTTTCGTCTATCAACGTATACACATAGCGTAACGGACCGCAATAGGGTCACGCGGCCTGGGCCGTATGATCTACCATGCATAGAGTTTTACAGAACTCTTTAACTGACAGAGAAGCAATTTGGGAGCAAACTATAAAGAAATAGTACATTATCGGATTCATTTAGTGAAGTCGTGGAAGACTTTTTGTCAAATTCAGGTTTTCACACCAAATAAACAAAAAAAAACAAGATCCTTTTAAAAAAAAATATATATATATATATATATATTAAAAATGTGCAGGGAAATATATATATATTTCCCTGCACATTTTTTACATCATGTTTTGTGACTTTTAGTGGCTTTCTTTCTATTGTAAAGCTAAAACCTTGTGTTCTTAAGGTAGAAGAATGAGCTTTCTTTGGCACATTTCAAATGCATAGCACAGTTGTTTTTCAATTGCGTGTCCCACATGTAATCAATACAGGTTCGTCACAGCGCAGATGAATTGTCATCTATAAAGTATATACATTATGTACATTCATATTCAAAACATCAGGAGATATAATTATTGTAATTGCACTGATTACGGTTTGTAGTCTTAACCATGGCGCACAGAAATCAGCTCCACTATCTATTCATATAAGGCTCAGCCCTGTCTAAAATGATTTTTTTTTCACGACTGCACTGGTAATCAGCGATAATCAGTAGTATTTCACAAATTCGCTTGGGCATCAAGTTTCGGCACATTTGTAGACAACTAGCGATTGGTCTACAGACTTTGATTCATTCCAATCCGATATCGCTTATTTATGGACTATTTATCTTTTTTGTAATGTCAGTCAACGAGTCTAACGATGCAACTATCCATCCGTTGCTTACTTAGGTCGCTGGGTAATTTCTTGAGCGACTTGCAGCTGTCTATACTAAGCATTTTTACATGTTTTTAATATATCTTATTTAAACAACAAAATGTCGGTTTCGCATCACTTTCTCCAGTTCTCAAGAATAATAATCACTTAGAGGCACTGCGATTTCTCTTTGTCCGAAGTGCAGCCCTTAGCTTTTCAATTTAATTTTTTTACACATTCGGACGAACAAAACTGGATAAATATAGTTGTATCAGCCATTGAAATCGAGAAAAGGCGTAAAGTTGTGTTCCTCGATTATATACATTCAAATCAAACTTTATATGCTATAAATTTGGCTGACCATTTTATTCAGCAATAGATTAGACATTATTGTCTATGTTTTTTTTAAATATAATTTCGTCATGTGTACACTGATTAGTTCAGAGAATTTAATTCACCTTGTCGTGGATTAAATTCTCTTATGTTCAGCTTCAAAAGCATTTTCACCGATAGTATTTTAGCTTAATCACATATAATTTGTGTTAATAATTTGTTTTGCCGAAACTTTTTGCGTCGCTATTTTTACCTTATATTATTATACAATTTCGTATTATAGATTTTCAGATCATCAGTCAAGTGTTAACTCCTTAGCCTTTATAGAATTTAATACCATATCTGTCAATCACGTAGGCCAACCTGTATGATAAGCTTATCGTCAACCAGTAATTCATCTCTTCGGAGCTGCGTTTCGTCTACTCCGAAGGCAAAGGTGATCAGCCCAGAGGGTTGAAGCTCATTCTGAGGAAACCAATAGCGCGGTACGACTGCCTCTGTTGATGAAAATGTCTTTACAATTGGTTTACCTCCAAGAACCTGAAAGCTGACACAACATACAATAACAAATTAAGGATTATGAATGACATATGACAGTGATGACTGATTAAGTTGTATGGAAAAAATAAGCATGCAATAAGAGTCGAATGCTTACTCTTAGTTGTACAGAACAAATAATGTTTTATAACATGCAGCCCAAAATCCGTTCGAACGAAATTGACATGAAGCTTCTACTTTTTTGTTACTCTATGCGGTTCGGAAAAAAAAGGAAAGAATAGTCAGACCTACCAAAAATCGAATTTGCGTTTATATTTTGTAGCAAAGAGGACCTCCAAAGCAAACTGAATAACATCTCCCTCCGATTTAGGTAATAGCACGACAACTGTTCGGAGAACACAGCGCACAGTTCCGTCTTTCTCTATTCCAAACGGTTGAGAGTATAACCTGAAATGCAAGATATTGTTGAAGACATATACAGGAAGGCAAGTAGGCCATTAGACATAGGTTCTAGATTTAACTGATGATGTAATTTGACTGATAATATAACTAATAATAATAATCAGTTCCGATGATGTAATGACTAAAAAGCTGAGATCACGTCGTCAATTCTTGGATGTTGCAAGGCTGAAATTAAAGAAAAAGCCAGCTAGCTGATCTCTCTATGGAAATGATTATTTATATTTCCTATATATATATATATTTCCTAAAGCCTAAGCGATTGAATGTGCTGGAATTAAAAAGTCGATCTGCTTTGCAGCGATATTTCCTACAAGAAAACGAGATCTCCTTGGAATTAACACTGCTGAAAAGAGTGAAAGGCATTTTTATAATGACAACAGGCGTTCTATGTACATGCTGGCTGTGCAGCAAGTGGCTGATTTTTACGATAATACATCAACACCTGCGATGAGCAACTTATAAATGTGACTAGGTTTTTGCATTTGCATATAATTTTAATTCATCTTATTTATTAATTTATTAGCCCCAAATTCACTTTTGCACACTCTTTTGTACCGCTTGAGCAATACGACGATATAATTAATTGAAGCAATAACCTTTCGTAACGGGGTCATGTGTAGTAGAAATAATAGAATTAAAATAGTACTAATAATAATAATTATTGTCCTCATTACTATTACACTCGCCGCGGTGCCAACGTACCGCCTATAAGGGTTTTCCTTAGCAAGTCTCATAAATGTGCTGAAGCGTGATATTGGCCAAAACAGCGGTCTTGATTTCGACGGATGCAGGAGGTGTAGAAGACTAAATGGATTTCTCGGATCTGCTGGGACAGTCTCATCACTGTCATCAGCGCAGATGCCCATTTCAGTAGCTCTTTGCAGCTTCCTATAAATGGACCACTCCCGAAGTCTTTCAGCCACTTGTCCAAATCTCTTTTCTAAATCTTCAACATCTGTCCGTATCATCATTACGGCGGTTTTTGTTGGGAATTCTGCTAGCCTGTCTGCAACGGCTAATTCCATACTGGACCGTAATTCTTTCTGACTGGACAAGATTGACTCGCTCACCTGACAATAATTCAATTCCAAGAAAATATGTGCCCACCTACAGTTTTAGCTAAGATTTAATGATGTATATAGCCTATAATAAGATATTAGGATTATCTATCTAATAATTGTTCCGATGTGATTTTATGATTTATATACTTCTCTATTTAAGAGAACAGAACACCAAAGCGGTTTCACGCAGCGTCATCTTATATTCATAATGACATTTGAGCAGCAACGAAATTCAAGTTCAGTTTCATATCGGCATTCTGTTAGCAAGAATGGATAGTTTTGTATAGCAGATACAAGCATATATATAGACTGCACGCTATAAAAAGTTCCGGATACGTGTAATGACATTCAGTAGTCAACCACACGATGATAGCTATGTAATAAAGATATCAATAGCCGCCAGTAGCAACATCATTTAAGTACATGTCTACCATATGCTACAGTTGATTCATATTTATTATTTGCATTCTTCGCCGAGATAACGTGATCGCGGTCTTTAAAAACGCATGTACATTACAGTAAGTAGAACATCACCATGGTACAGCGAAACAATGCCGTAATATGCCATATTGCATCTCTAATATTAACTTTATAATATGAGATCTAGCTGCAAAAATAACTTGACGATCGGCGCGGTGCGGAAGCACTTTACACCTAAACCGAAACCTCGAAAGTTTGCCCAAAAAGGCCTTCACTTTACATATGGGATCATTCTCCAAAAAACGCTGTCAATGAAAACCAAAAGCTGCCCTTAATCATAGACTAATCCAAACCGATTAGATAAATGGCAGAATACACCCTAAACGTTGCTACATGAAAAAATTATCTATTCAATAGAGCCGTTTGTTCAGCTCTTTCAATATATCCGGTATTCGTGTCTCTCATGGTACTCCACTACGGGCCAACAAACCTACGGTATAATGCACGGCGACCGCGTATCTTGTTCGCAGAGTAACTTTCGACTGTCTACAAAAAATTTGGCAACTAGATTGGTAAACGTTTTCAACAACGGCAGAAGAAACGGTTGCACGCCCGAAGCCGGGCACAAAATACGCGCAGAGTACACTTCCTGCGATTGATATCATTTTAGTACGTTCTGTTAAAAACACGTCTTTACAAAAATGCACCAAGGTCTAAATAATACATGAAAGAAACCTTAAAACACGAAAAAATATCCTTATTGATTATAGAAAATTGATGTTTTTTAAAATCGTGCATTGCTTCCCTTTGCTTTTTTTTTTATATGAAAATGCTTGCTTTTTCCCGCAAGGACTGAGGTCGTAATCGACCCGAAATATAGTACAGATCTTCCGTACAAAGCCTTATGTAGCTGTGTACACCTAGTTTTTTAATAAGCTAATCCAACCTCTTTAATTGTAACTGTTTCCTTTAGGCGGCTGGCAGCTGCCGACGCGTCCTGTTCAATAGCAGTCAGGCGATCTTGGAGAGTGCAAGTCTTCCGTGCGACAGCTGTTTCCACGCGTTCGACTAAGTCTGTGTTGAGTCTGTCAACCTAAATAATAACATTATTATTTAGATATAAATAGTATTTTTTTGTACTTTTAACAATAACTTTACTACTATTACGACACATTATATTATATATGGGATACTTCACAAGTAATTATCTGTATATTATATTATTATATAAAAACAGTCGTTCACATTATGAATCAATTATCAGAATCAGATTATAAATACTAATCATATTTAATGGTTCAGATGGAACCGTTCAAGCAACTGAAATAATCGCAACGCCTAAAAATTTAAACGCTTTATCGGTTAATCGGATGTTAGCAAAAGATTACGCCTGCTCGTATATCATATTGATTATCAAGTTTTTACTCAGCGAAGAGCTTCCACACCTTGACTCAAAACTTACATAAAAAATTGCTTTATTGTTATTATTATAAAGTGTACTGTACACGCTGTCTAACTAACGCATTTATAAATCACATCTTTCGCATAACTGTTTTTGAAAGTTTGGATTTTCGAACAGAACCAGCAAACGCGCGAAAGAAGCGAGAAAGAAACGAGATCAAAACGAATACGTTCTAGTAGACATACAAAGGATAGCCCAATGGATTAAGCATAATTTGATCTGGTATGGTTGCTCAAAGACATATTGCCGGTGCATCATGTGTCATTTGGTAGACTACGACACTTAGTCCGAATTAGCGGTTTCCTGAAAGTTCGAAACTGTAATTTAACTGTTCGTTGACACGGAGCTTCAAGCTAAATTTAATTAAGGTCATCAATACTAATAATTTCCAAGTAATTTCATTTTACGAACTAAATCTAGTTTGGGCACAATGCACATCAATCTGTTGCATATGCTTTTATATAATTTCAAGTAGCAAGATACCGAGCACCTGGCTAGCCTTCCATCGCTGTTTGTGTATCTTTTACTATAACAACAAAGAGAGCCATTAAACTGTTGCAGAGATAGCAGAACTAACGATCGGTGTTACCCAAGCAATTCGCGCTTAGCCCGCTGCCTGTTGCGATTAATTCCAGTGAGATTATTAATCTCTAAGTAAACTCGTCACAAGCTACAGACTAAACGCCACAATGCTGTGACTGAAATACACATGTGCCTATATATCCCATGTGGAAAATGATGAAACACATTACTCTTAGGACAGTATCTTTTCCTTTGCTATTATCTAGCATAAGGAACCACGTGATACAGATATCGAGTCTTTCGGTACCATATTATGTGTGTACCAGCATTAAGCTAGAGAATGTTCCGCACCTGTGCGCGCAACAGAGCGTTTTCCTTACGGAGCTCAACAACCGTGCTCTCGAGTCCAATAACGCTTTTCTTAAGGCCTTCACAGAAGTGCAGCACCTTAAATAAAGTGCCCTGGGGATCATTTCGGGCTTCGTTTTCAAGACTTCCCATACTCAGCAGGAAGGATGTGAAACCATCTGTGGACGACATCACATGCAGGTTTTTCTCTGTTATGTTGAGACTGCCAGCTATAGAAATTTAAATGTTATCGGTTCCCAGTCCCGAATCTTTTTTTGAGGCTATCACTATTCTTTGAGCGACTCGAGCACCAAGTGCCTTACGCCTTTGAGCTTAACGAAACCCAAGTCACAATGATTCCAGCAGGCATCGCGCACTATTTCGAAAAATCCCACAACCGCACAGTAAGAAACTGAGATTCTATTCACGGCGCACAAACTAAAAGCGGTCTGAGGTTGCTTGTGTTTCTTTGGGATCGATTGCAGTCTGTAGCAATAGTGCAATGCGCTTAGAGTTTGCTGTAGTGCTCTGAACAGGAGCAGTACCAACAGCGCGCTGGTGTGTTGAGACCATTTCGTGTTTTCGAGCCGCCTAGGAGCCAACCAAAGCGAATAGACCGAGGAGGCACTAGAGGGTCAGGGACGCCCTCTGCAGCGGTCGTCGTTGTCGTACCGATGCGTTTTGCTGTCTGTCTCTTTTGTAGACAGTCGAGATAACAAACCAATACCAGCGGCAATGTCGTGTCGCAGAGGCGCGGGCTCAGCAGATATAGTAGCAAAGGCCAACAGCCGTACCGTCGAAGATCGCCGGCAACCATAGAGATGAGATGAGCCGGCTTAACGGTTTTGTTACATGAACTCGTTCACTGACAGGTATAAGCTAACTGGTCGCTAGCCCACTTGGATTTGTGATGCTTTCCGTGGTCACCCCCCACTTTGCATATTGCTTGATATTGCTATTGCTGACACTACTGCCGTTGGTATCCCCAGGGCTCTATCTAAATATGGCGCTCATTTCCTATCAGCCTACTGTTAGTACTACTATGAGAATTACGATGATGATGAATCGTGACGTCTAAAGGTACCAGGACCAATGAATATTGCCCAGTGACTCTGGCGTCGACTAGTATGGAGTCAATAGTGTCGATTGCGATAATAACATGATCGCTACGAATCTATTCGGGCTGCTCCTCATTGTTCGTTAGCACTAAGTCGCGTCGAAGTATTGCTATTATCGATGACCGGATCGATGCCATTAGGAAATCGACGCCAAGAGAAGGATACACCAACAAGTTAAATGAATCTGTACATCAATACCAACAGAAATATTGCATAGTACATGGTTGGAAGACTGACCAGCGATGCGGTAAATGCTATTGAGTCTTTCCAAACAAGAGAGAACGCGCAGCGAAACCGAAACAACGGAGATAGCCGGTAACCTCATGACGGCTGCTGTCACTACGTCGATGAACAACAGCATACGGTTTCTGTATACGAGGCTCAGTGCCAGTAGTTAACTATTGTAATGTGACTTCTGTAGAATGCAGGTGTCTGCACGAAATATACAGCCACGTATATATAATAGTGTTGTTCAAACAGGCGAATCATTGTGGTATACGATTCGGCAGAGCTGAACGCACATCTGTCGCTGAGACGTAATATTGAAAGCATCAAAGGTACAACAAATTTGGCTTTACTAAACGTATGTGAACCTAAAAGCCATAATAAGTGGTCTGCTTTATTTAAAACCTTTTGAAGCAAATTAATTAGTGGATCATGCAGATATAGGTGATGCGGATTATTGACGTAAAACTATGTCTAGGACCTACATATCATAGTATTACAAGAGATTATGAGCCAATACTTTTGAAATTAGATCGGAGATGAGAATCATTTTGTAAGTTAATTTGAGGCAATAGGATAATGGTTAACAAGTCTACGAATATGCCACGTTTCATTACTACTCTGCTGCTTATGATTCAAGGAATTTTGAATTCGCACGCTTAGTTCTACAGCTAGAGCTTCAATCAGCCAAATCATTAATATGGCAAAACTCTGAGACAGGAAGAACATCTATGATGTTCTTGAGTTTTCCTAGATAATAGTTGATTAACGCCTCAATAGATTTGGGGTCTGTGCGGGTCAGTTCTCTATATGGATCCGCGTAAAGTAATTTATAGCGTTGAGAAAAGTATCTACAATCTAGATTTATCTATAAACGTTGCGGCTAGCCTCCAGAGACTCAAAATCGAAAGGTAGAATTAATTTGGAGATTAGCGGGTGCCGCCGAGGTGTCGTTTGTTTTTGTATAAGGGTAAGCTTGAAAGACCTAGATCTGCTGCTTTTGACATTTTGCTTGCAAGAAGCTTTTTTCCTGCAAAGAAAACCTTGTAAGCAAACGTTATAACTCATAAAACGCTAAAAAGTTAGGCAACTGGACGATATAAAAAATTGTAATGAAACGTATGGTTGGAAGTTGACACATCTGTATATAAGAATTCGTTAGCCTAGCAAGCCCACTCTCTCTCATTCTATATTCGTTAACTAAGCGTCTTTCTTTGTTGTTGTTTTTGGTCAAGAAACAATGATATATCTTGTTAAATTCACGATGACGGTAAAAATCCGCCTTTTGAAAACATATGGATGAATGGATAGAGTTTTACAGATATGTTGCTTTTAATTAATGAAAAAAATTGTATTTTATTGAGATAAAAAAACGTTGCGACGAAAGACCCAAAGTTCATCTAAGGGCCGAAAAAGATCATATTCATACAACGAGAAGGACTGAGTATGGGTTAAGAGAGCTTCGCGAGACAAAATCAGGCAGGTCAGCAATAAAGTGAACTCACGACTATAAAAAAACTGCTATCCCTAGTCTTAGGTAAAAAAAAAGTTCCACGCATTTCTAAACCACCAAATAACTTCCTTACAGCCAGATTGATTTAAACGTATTCAACAGCCTCGGCTCTGTTCAAATCACAGTCACTACGGTCGTCTACTACGGTACGGCAAATTAGTACCTATATTACTATTTCAATGGAGAAGCGTACTGAAGTAGTTATATTAATATGGATAATTTTTTTAACATACTTTCGTTTTAGCTAACTGTCATCTGGTTGAAACAATGGTGTGGCAAAAAAGAGGAAAATAAATTTGTCAGTTGAGGGGTGAAATCTCAACCAGTGGAATAATAGAGAAACCTCGATTACAAAATGTTCTTTATAACAAAATTGTAGATCACATAACCATACGTTTGTAAGTTTAGCAACAGAGCTTCAATATGTAAACGGGAATATGAAAGAAAAATTCAGTCGAGTCCTTTCTTTATTTTATTTTACATATTAGTACCTATTCAAAATGCTTTTTATAGTCACTTTATATATGCATACCAATATTAACACAGTTGAAGGTATAAGTTAAACTGTATACACATGAACACGCTAACCATAAACTTTATCATACAATCAAACTTTGAAAAGTTATTCTAGATAAACAGCAAAAAAGAAAAAATCGATTTCCGTACATTCATGTCAGTGGCACAACATCTTTTCTTTAGATCTAGCATTTGTTCTCACAGGGGGTCAGAAATATTGTATGATGCCTGTGTGTAAACTGTAATACCATCTATAAATATACTGTATTTCAAGAGGATACTCTATGTCAATCAACGTTATGTACTTGCTCGAGAAAAGAGCTCGCCGTATATATTTATGCTCCGTCGAACTCCACTAAAACATATGGATAAATAGAAAGTTGCTGTGGTGTCTGCAGTAGTTGACGGGATGTGTGTCCTTAAGAAGATGCCTTTTTTCCATTGCCGTTTGCATTTGAAGTCAGAAGAGCTTTTTTTGCCATTATCAAAGCTCCTTCAAGGGTCTGATGTCCACCAATAAAACCGCTATTGTGGACAAAGATGCAACCTTTAATACCCACTGCTTGATTCAAGTCATCCTCGCGTTTACCCTTCCACGGAAGCGCCTTCCTGTAATAAAAGAAAAAAGCTAAATGATTTTCATAAACACTTTACATTATTATAAATTACAACTTAATAGTTTTGCATATTTTTTGCATATCCTCATGCCTTCATGCAAGCTTTTTCATGCAAAAGCAAAAGTTAATGTCTTGAAATACTATAGAAAGTCGAGGGCGACCGATTTCGATGTCTGCAATAATTGGATCAACTTTTGTTTTTCGACTATCTTACGGATGTTGTGAACGAGATTATGTCCACAAGTACCAACACAGAACACCGTTTTACTATAATGGACTAACCACAAAAGACTATTAACTTTTCTTTAAAAAGATTGTTTCATGATCCAATTATTTCCAAGGTATCGTGTACTGTGCGCCGCGCGTGCCTTACCTGTTGAGATCTTTTTACGCCTTTTGACAGAATGTTCGAAACCTACAATCTGAGATGGATCTGAGCACACTACTTTCACGAAAGATAATTTTATTAGGCAAAAGTAACCGTCTTTTATAGACACTCCGCGTTACTGCCCAGCGTTTTACCACTCATATGTGAATGGTTCTAGCCACAGAGGCGCGTTAAACAACTTGCTATTGCCAAAACTGGATGATTGAAACTCGGACGCATGCAGTTTTAACCAGACGCTGCTACCTGCTAATCTCGATGCATCTACAGAAGGAGAAGTTTGCCGAACTTTCGATATCCGAAGAAACACCCATTTTATGGCTACACGGTTCAAGAAACCTAAGCGAATTGGGTTTTCTCCTGTGGAATTTTCTGAAAAGCAAGGTAGACAGGTCGAAGTCATCTACAATTGATGAACCGAAGAAGTATAGCGAACAATTTATTTATATAAAACATGTAGTCAAAAATTGTCTGCTCCGTGTTTGACTATATGGAAAAATCCTGCGGCGGTCATTTGGATGACATCGTATTGCGAACATAACGGCGAGCTTGTTGCATATATTAAGATCCTAAATATATTTATATATATCACAATGTGGTGTTTTTTTGGCCAATCTAAAACCTAAACATTGAAAATGTGTTAGTTTATGGAAGCCATTGTTAGAAATAGAATTAGTCTAAAGTGGATGATATCTGAAACAGATAGTGCCCCAAACACGAGATCAGAGACGGGTAAGTGACTGATCATATACATTGCTGAGAAGGCTATAAAATTATACATTTGAATGACAACAACTTTAAATTAAAACAGGTGATGTCTAGTTAAAAGTAACTGTAAATGAAGATTTAATATTTTGATAGCATTTACAAAATGCACGTATATAGAAACTACATACAGACTAGTGGCTACCATATTTATAACTAACGTATGTAGTTGATTTATCTAAATCAGCTTAGAGAATTTGACGTGCATAAATTAATGAATTTTACTTAGTACATGACATAGGTGATAAATCGGGGTTAATTCGATAAGAACAAACAAAAAAAAATTCATGGAGGCATATTTGGAGTTTGCTTACCTGCTTGTGAAGGAACCTTCCTTTATGGGTACGGCCTGTACTCGGAATGAATTAGTGATGTCTCTGTACACCACGAACTTGATCTCGCCCTTAATGCCCAATTCTTCCTCAATCTCAAACAGGTGATCCTTCCACGGACACACACCCTCATGAAGTACGGCAATCTCCCCAGTGTCATGCTCCTGTGAGATACGAAAACGGATAGCACATGCTACGTAACTTTGTTTTAGATACACATTACTACTTCCGTCTAGACTATCTGTATCACCGTTGGTAAATAGCACTCTAGTGCAAGAGAAAATACACTTGCGGACATGACGTATCTAACGTATAGTTCTTATTAATAAGAATATGCGTAGGGAATCGAATCCATGTAGCAATGGCTGTTCTTCACGTATGGCAAATCGTTGGTGAGAAAGGTACGTAGTAGCATAAACAACCTGTCAAAAACTGACCTTTTTGCGATTAACGATCGCCTTCTCAACAATAACCCTAGAGGGTATCCATGATTTTGCATAGAAGTCAACCATATGGTAGAACTCTTTCCCCACGAGTTTAACTGCTTTGTGAAAACGCAGCAACAGCTCCTCAGGCGTTTGATTCTCGTTCCACCTTGGATTCAGGTGTGCGACGCGTGATGAGAGTCCCGTTGATATTCTATATCTGAAAAGTCAGCAATAAAAAATATAAGATCCTTAAAGGATAAACCACATTCAGTCAGTCACTTAATTTTTATGCTAAATTACTTTTATACGAACGAGTATTTAAAACAGGCTGTTCAATGTAAGTACTTAGAATGTATTCGTATTCATATAACGAGCTGTTCTACTTGTTTTTACTTCCTCTGCACCCACCCCCATTTCTGGCCTTTTTAAGTTTATTTTCACTAGTGCTTGTGTTAATAATTTTTTACAAGCAACAAAGTAGTAGACAAATGGTCCTTAAAAACCATATGATTGGAACCCAAATGATAAAATCTAGAGGGCCTGAGTTGGCAAATATTGAGGTACAGATCACAATGACTGTGTAAGGCTCATAATCCAATAAAAGCCGGATTAAAGCGACATGTTTCCATTCAAGAATCTCGCTATATAGCTCTATTTCCTGACTTTAGGACGTTCAGACATAATGTCTAATTTGGTTTTTAGAAAAAACCATACTTACTTAGGTTCACCTTCACACATTTCGATACCGTTATCAATCGCATCAACCTCCCGAATAAAGTTCTCGTACACTTTGCGCCAAACCTTCTTGACAGCGGGGTCATCAGAGTCGATCTTCATTTGAGACGCAATAATTTCTTCGCCGAAATTGTGGTAAACCAAGCCCGCCGAGCTTAGTTTAATATCGGCTTGCTTGAGTCCGGGTCGTAAGTCGGCCATTGTCAGCTGCCGTGAGAAGCGCCAAAAACCGAAATCAATAGTGATAGCAAGAGCGGGATAAGCCATCAAGAATACAGTCATTAAAAAAAATTAGTAAATGTTTTAGCTAAACGAGTTTGTGCTAACAGTGATAATCGTTGACACTAAAGTTCTGATTCAAAATGCTCTTAATTAAATGAGTTTTTGAAAAAACCTTAATAAGATTTACCTTGAAACTTGGCTGATGGTGGTCGAAGCACCATTTTTCGGTATCGTAGATTCCACAAACGTCCACTCTAGCATCGGCTTCGAACATCACGTCGCGATCACGAGTTCTACGAGAAAAAATAAATAACCTTAATAATAATAATTAATAAAACACTTTTGTGAGATATCGCATATCTCACAAAAGTGTTTTATTAGTCGAGAAAGAAGAAAATAGATTGCATATACTAATACTGTTATTATTACTCTCACTGCAAAATTCTAAAATCATCACTGTGGTCTCGTATGAAGATAAAGAGCAGAGATCATAGCAATTCCCAAGTAGGTATCTCATTATTCAAGTGTAAAGTAGTTTTTCTGAAAGTGTCTAACCCATTCACTCAGTAAAGCAACATTATTCATTATGTTTTCGCGGTAAATAATGACAATTATTACCTGATAATTTCGGCATTTCTGAATTTCGGCAGCTGCTTGAGGAGATACACAGCCAAGGCGTCATCGCAATGAAACGTCCCGTCGTGAGTCGCTATCTTAAGCGCTACAGTTAATAAATAAGATCATACAATAAACTTAGCAAACGAAAATTTTGAAAACAAACACTTTATTTAAGAAGGTTATTTTCCTAAAAAAAAACAAGCAAGAATACGAAATCAGCGCGGACGTATTCAAATTAAACTTTCGGGTTTGTTATTTTCAATAAGTGCCATCGGTGCGGCTACATTGACAATATTACAATGTAATAGATAATTCCCGATTGCACTTTTCATCGAACTTGCACATGTTCGGATTTGCTGTGTTTACATGTGTTTGAGACTGCTAGGACAGAAATCTATGCACAAACACAACGAAAGCCCGCCAAAAGCGTAATGCGATCTTCTGCGAACATGCTACAGCACGTGATTCGCGTATTTTAAAAATTTAGATAAAAAGTAACATTAAATTATAAAAACTTCGGCTTATGGGTAGCATTTTCCTCTAGCAGTTACTTCGTAGATATTTGCGCAACTGATGACCGATCATTCTTTACGAATGTAGAAGAGCTAACTCTCGACAGATGTTATGCTAAGTGGTGTCAGAAGTGCTAGGAAATAAACTGCTTAGCTCAACTACAGTTTTCAAATGATGCAAAAAACCTATTATTCTCAGGGCACGCACACCTCAAAAGTATAATTAACTGCGTACTCTTACCCTATATTTTAATGGTCTTCTTGAAAGCAGCTACGAGTGTCAATACTCTTACGAAACGCCAACGCCCGCGAACTACAAATTCTAGAGAACAACTTTTTTTTTTTATCGCTGTACTGTTAACAAACATCGTTAAATTACCTGAAGGTTTTTGGTCTCCACCTCGTGTTCTCTTAAACATTATCTTTTTTCCTTTATAATCCGCTTCTACGCGCAGCTGTGTCGAATGTTGATAAGCGCTAAAGGCGTGGCGCTCTCTTTGAGAAGTTGTTTCTTTGTATGCCCGCCTTAGTGAGGGTCGCTGTCAAGTGGGAGGGGCAGCACCTATGAGCGCGGGTGATTTGAAACAAACTTTAGGGCGCCACAACAAGGCCTATGTATAAAATGTGCCTTGTGTAAAGCTCACATCCTTTTGAATAACATAATACTAAATATCAATAATGGCGATTTTATTTTCTGTGAAGCATTCCCGTCTTTCACGGCAATATTTACTTGAAGCATAATCTTTGTATTAAATCTTTTCTATGCTGCAATAATCCATATTCATAATAAATAAGTGACCTCTGTTCTAATTTAATGACTAAATATTCATTTAGTACACAAAAAAATACAGCTTCAATGAGAGTCCCATTCGTGCACAACTTCTAAGAAAGGCGAATGGTAAAAATAATTTATGGATTTTACGAACTTGCTTCCGCTAATACGGTGAAGTATGGCTTTCGTAAGAACGAAATACGGCTCACTACACAATGACCTGGCAACTATTAATAGCAACTACTTGTGAAACAACATCTGTGTCGCAAGAATTACCTGTCAATAGGTTTGTCAGTAAATAAGCCTAATTTTATTCGTAATAAACGTTTTATTATTCGCATTTAATTGAAGCAATGAGTTCTCTCATCCGTCAGGATCATCTCAATCATAGTTATTCAACACTATTTTTTTGCCATTGAATCATTTGTAATGTACAGAAAATGCAAACGCATTTCTTATCATCATGGATAAGACATCAGCGGCTCATTCACGTTCTCTTTTCACGTTCATAGTCCAAGTATACAAATAGCTCCTGTACCCATGCCTGGCTGGGGTCGACTTTCTCACACATTTCTTCAATTATATGTCGCACTATTCAAAACTGTACAAAAAAGGAACCAGCGTTCCGTGCACCGTTAACATTGGCTTCAGCCTTATTAATGATCTCGTAGCGCCTAGTTGGCCAATTAAGGGCTAAACGCCACCTTCGCTGAGCAACCTAACCGCATTAACTTCGAGCATTTGAATGCCCTCCTGTTTTACATCGGAGATCGTGCTCTTCCGTAATTTTGCCATTGCGAGCAATGAATCCTCGTGGTCAAAACTCAAACTTTTCTGTGGATCTTGTCGAGACGTGTGAGTCCTTAAATGATTTGTTCCGGTCAACTTTGGCGTGCGCTCGAACGCGTACATAACATAATTCTCCACCCATTCTCACTTACCGGTGCTTTTTCGTTTTCTCACAATATTTATTTCTGAGCAAAGAACTAGATGCTTCACAACGTTGTTCGACATTGTTTTTATCCTTTTTTTATGGTGGTTTTTGGATGGCGATAGGCAAGGCTTCGCGCACACAGTGTTCGCATATGGACGAAAAAGCACATAACCGTAGCCAGCCCTAAGTTTGCTAGTCCTTTCGCGGTACTCTTCAATGAACATACGTGGTGGCATACGTGGAGCTTACGTGGACTAGATTCTGCTTCGGACGGTACGGTAACATTTTTATTGCTAAGTATTCTCTGCAGCAAATCAACAGCTCTCATTGAAAACTTGAATTACGTCGCGTGCGGCAGTGGCACTGTACAACATCAATGTGTTGTACTAACTATTGTTCTTAGTTGTCCTTGAAAGTTCTCTGTTGGTATGTCGCGCGTATAAATTCTTTAACGTCTCGTAATCTAGCGTTCCTCGACACTTGTTCCTATTGTATTTTTAGCTCGAGTGTCATTTAATTAGACAGTTTTTATTAAATTATTAGTATGTAACATATTACTACAAAAGAAGAATAATCGAGAAATATATTATTAGGTTCATATTTTTGTCTTATATTGATATACTTGACAGTGTTGTTGGTTCTCCGGCTGAATGGTTTGGGTTGGATGGAGTCTGGTTAAAAACATTGGGGTATAAGCAGATTTATTCATCTGTGAGTGTTTGTGTTCGCACAATGAAATAGTTAACGCAGTTGATGGCTCATTTAACGTGGTAGATCGCGTTAGGCAATCGCTGAAAGCTGGAAATGTGCCATAAGCGTCAAAGACGTTCTGTGTGCTCGAGCGTCGAGATCTGCTTGCATCATTATGTGTTGGTTGGTCAGCTGTTTTCTCAATTCGATACAAAGCTTATTTGGCTGTCTGCCTTCACATCGATTGACGCATTGGCCTCCCGGCGGGCAAATCGTAGTATTTTGCGATGATTCAAATACGCGCATGCAAAACTGTAAGCGACAACTATTCATTGTCCAAACGATTAATTGTTGGTGCTACTGCTATCACTAGTTGAAATTTTATTAAATCCCGTCAATTACTGAGAAAATTTTACCCAACCGCTACTCAGCAGTTCGGCGCTCGCACGTCTTTCCACCAGGAATCGGGATAAAGATACTTTTGTATCTCGAACTCTTCGTGTGGAACGTTGACTCGTAGACCCATGAAGTCTAGCTGCTTGAGTGGGGCCTTCACAAGTCTAGCCGGAAAGCATGTAGTGCCCTCGCACACTTTTGAGCTCTTCAAGCGGTGCTTCCAACCCACACGCCATGCCGACTGACCGTCCTGACTCTCAAACACGTACAAGTACACCTGACATCGAACGTCAGCATCGTGCCAAGCGTAGTACAAGCCGTTGGCTGAATCGTAGCGTACTTCGAGTCCGTGCCTACGGAACGTCTTGACGATAGAGCCTTCGTCCGCCTTCGCGAGCAGTTCCTCGTTCTGCACGCACAATTCGATCCGATTCGTCCACGGGAGGGGTTCACCGATTTTCAGCGCGCCCCACAACGAATAATAACACAAATAATGTAGTGAGATGTCGAGCGATTGTAACGATTTGAGCACGAGTGGAAACAGCTTCTCTAGGCAGGGATGCGCGTCTTCAGTGGTACCGCACCCGTTGGCGGCTTCTTTTTGCAGAAAACCGACGATGACCAACAGTACAATGCACAGCACCGCCACGTAGATGGTGCAGCGACGAAATGTGCGCGACCGGTAGTATCGCATGCCTGGCCGTAATGCTATATCGTTGTCGTTGTTGCCAATCGACAGCTCTTGCTCGGTGGCTCGTGGGAGTCGTTTTGATCGTCCTTGGAGTAGCAGCAGAAATGACAACTTGATGTTTGCGGTCAGGTTGTCCTGGTTTTGGTCGTGCTAGCCCGACCCAAGCAGTTAGGCGCATTGTGCGCACCCATACACCAGCACACACCGAATTACAACAACTCACAACCCACGACTTCAATAGTATAATTCGTCGTTTACGAACGGGATCATTCAGTGTTGGCCTGTAATTGGCCGTGTGCCTAGATTGAAACACAGTTCCAAGCACAGTAGCATTCGCACCGGTTGGATGGTGATATCAAAACGACGGCATATATTGCGTTGTAATATTAGGCGCCATATTTCGTTATGCGACAGCTATGCCACAAAGGCGGCATATATACCGTTAATAGCACGAGATGGCATTCTGACAACGGCAACCGCAGCTCATCGCTGTCATGTCCGGGGCGAAAGGGCAAGCAGGAGGGGATGTTGACACTGTAAGTATAAACATGGGTAAGAGCACCAGAAACACTGCCCAAAACGCCAATGCCGGCCAAAGGATTCGCTCCTACCAACTTCGCGCTGCGTCCACCAGAGGAGAAAGAGAACGAAACTGAGCGAGAGCGCCACGGAAATATAAACAAAGTCAGCTGGCGAATCACAAGTGATGGCCGTACGGCTTCAAATTAAGTGCGCGCAAACTCAAAGGCTAGTCGCGAATGCTTGAAGCGACTGAAGAACTTAATTGGCAGTGGATTTGGACAAATCAGAATTTAGGAGGCCTCAAAACAACATGTCTACATAGTCATTTAACTGACGTGGACGGTGTGAAGTCTGCGTAAACAGTCAATGTCGGTGCTCGCGCATGGACGTTCAACATACAAATCGTTCCTCTCAATAAATTCCAGCTGTAAACAGGCCTTCATCAAATGAACATTTGAAGATGCAATGCAGGCACACTAAACAGATAATTGGTTTCTTGATTTACGCTCGTGTTAATGTGATATCTACCTCAAGTTAAAAAAAAAAAGCATAGTCAAAGAAAGACTAATCATCAGCGAATGGTTTTACTTAGATATTACTGAGTAAATTTTTGAGAAATCTATAATATTTCGAGATTATACTGGTGTATTGTGCCCTGTACTAGGCATCAGATTTATTGACGCATTGGACCGTAGTTGATATTGGTGAACTGGGCGTTAAGGTAATGTCTGAGTTTCACTTGTCGAGCTAAATTCGGGAATATCGTTGTACCCATCTTCCAATTCTTATATGTTCGATTCATTTCCAGTTTAGAGCATAATATTTGTAGATGCACGATTTCGATCTGCCGATCGTGGGTTATCCAGCTTTTACCGAGGCATGCGTGATACTTTATTAAGCACCGCTTCAGTAAAAATGAAGAGCAGGCGCGAATTAAAATGCAAATGAATTTTCCCAACTCACAAGGGTGTGTGTAAGTCGGTGTGAAAGTACATCTCACGGAAATCCTAGGATGAGTCACGAACTTTTTAAGCACTTCCCAGTGACAACTTTCTTCTAGTTTAAAGCCATTTATTTAAGTGACTTCTTCTGTGCTTAGAGAATCAGATCATCGTCAGCAATTGTATATATGAGGTCAAATGAAAAGTGCCAGCAGCAAATTTTTCCTTTTCAGAAAAAAATTTGTCAACTTTGCATGTATTGCCTAAGAAAAGTTGTAAGCGCGTGGAAGTGAGTACCTCTGTTTCTGAAATAACTAGTGCATGAAAAAATTGAAAACAGACGAACGAGAAAGAAGTGATCGCTCAGCGTTAAACATGAAAAATGATTAATGAATAGAAGGCCATTTTGAGACCATTACAAAAAAACCGAAGAAAATTTGGCTACGACCGCGCATAACTGTCAAATAGGCAAAATGCAACCGTATCCTAGTCATTTATAGCGCCGCAAGTTAGTGTGAAGTTGGCATTAGCCTTCACCTGAGCGATTTCGATGGAAGAGAATAAATGTTTGTTATTCTGCGTGAGTGATCGTATAATGCTGCTTATATACGTTTAATGTGTTATTACACCAAAATGTATTTATGCTGTATATCTTTTTGTACCCTGTTCCGTCCGACTGCTTCTCATCGCTGCGCATTCGTATTTACCACGAGGTTTTTCAGACTTCTCGCCGGCAGTAACAGTAGTCAAGATCATCAGCGCCACGATCCTTCTGTTTCCTTCTTTCTTCTCAGCGCTGCCCTTTCCCTTTGCCGTTCTGGCTGTCTATTGGAACGCACAAATGATGCCAATGATCTTTCCCGATAGAAAAGGCAGGGACTGTAGGACAGAGAAAAAGAGCGGGTATTATCGTACGCAAATAATACGTACATATTGGTCTCTATTGATTATTACACTAAGGTTGATCCATGAGCGATCAGCTGACAAATGCCTGAAAGAAAAGTCTGTGGAGCTGTACCCGCAGCAGCAATCGGACCGTTAATTCATGATGATGGCGACTTATGCATCGTTTATAGACACAGCGGACTCTTCTTCTTGTTTGCTTCACCTACAATGTAATTGTGCGTGGTCTGTGAAAGCCAAAAAGTCGTAGAGATCCGCTGCCGTGGACACCGCTTACCGTAACAATTGATACTACCGTTGTTGTTCCTATTGTTGTTATCATCGAATCGCTTTTTTCCCCCTTCTCTTCCCGACGCGACTATCCTCCTCCTCCCTTCGATGTTGTTGTGGTAACCTCTGGTCATCGAACGTGGTCTGTCCGGTGTTTATGTGGCGAGGAGAGAATGAATGGCGGCTAGCGCGCTGTGTTCGTCTCTCCCAACGACGACGACGACGACGCTGGTGCTGCCGAGAGCGAGGACTGGTGGATGGCGGCGACGGTAGCTGCATCGGCGCAACAGCGATAAATCCAGTGGCGTTGTTGTGTGCTGCCACTCGTTAGTTGAGAGGAAGTGGGGTCCAAGGGGGAGTGGAAGTGATGGCGGTGCTGCTAGTGGTCGTACAGCGGCAGCATTTGCAGTAAAACAAGTTCATCACCGCATCCGTAATCCTATTCGCAGTTGAAGTTCTGCTAGCTGCTTCTGTGTGTGCGGTGACTGCTGGAGGGGCTGTAGAAGCCAAAGAACCGTTTGAGAGGCCGCTGCCTGCAGTTGCTACTCCTCCTGCATCGAGTTACTTGCACAGAGAAACTGTCCTGTTACTTAAACTTAGAGTAGCAGTATCGATGCTACCGCTTCTCAGGGGGATATTTTTACATAGGGATACAACAAACTCAACTGTAATACATTATTAATCGTGTAGTGTACGTGCAATAAGGGGTAGATCTACTGTACAAGCACCACCAGCATCGCCATTGGCTTGCGCTAAGTAGCCTCCGTCTGCCTCCTGTTTGGATTTATCTGTGTCGGTCGGTCGGTCGGTCGGTTTTTCTGTCTGTATGAGAGCGAAAATCTCTGGGCGAGCCATTAGCATCGATCCGGTGGTCCATGCGCTTGTTGCGGACTTGTGCTTGTGTGATTTAACGCTTGTTCCGACTTCAAGCAAAATTTCTACCATTACGATTATACATAGAGTAAATCAAACTGAAAGGCAGCTTTCTCGGCGAATGCCGCTCTTCGGCAACTCGTAACTCGCCCATAACGGGTACAGCGGATTGTGTCTAGTAGAACGAGTACGAATTTACCTACGAGGCAGACGGTTGTACGAGGACATCCTCACATTCCCGTAAGAGCACTAACAACGGCACCAGTGTTCGGATCAAATACTTCAGACCTTCTTTTTCACTCTCTCGCCGCCAGTTGTCGCTGCTGCAGTTGGGAGACGCAGAGGCGATTGGAGCGGGGGAACTAACACAACAAGCTGCAGTCAGTTGTCTGTCGTAGGGCCCTGTCGAGGTATCGGTGACGAAGTCGGCAGCGTTGTCCGTTGTATATGAGTGGAATACGAGTTATGCTGTGCTCGTTTGTTGAGCGTCGGTTCGGGTATCAAACGAGGATTAAGGTGAATGCGTCACAAGAAGAAAAGTGAGTGTTTTTTTAACGGCCGCCTCCGGCTCTTTTTCGTTAACCGTGTTTGAATTGTGCTAGCTAGTTCATTTCTCTATGTTGCCTAATAGTAGTAACGAGGATAGCAAGCGAGTGCGGGGACTTCAAATGTTGTGCTTCTGAGTGTCGAGTGTGATTCGAAGTCCAGTGCAATGTTTGTTGCTTATTCAGCTCGCAAGCAAACGAACGCCGAGGGCGGAGACCTGTGAGGAAAGTACAAGCCTGTGGCAAACGAAAATCACCTATGAAATAAAGCAACAGGAAAACGCTATCATATTCTAGTGTATGTTCTTGTTGATTCACGATGTCAGCAGCCATCTTTACCTCTGCATGGATTATGGAAACGGTAGTTGTTACGCCCTCAGCTACTCAAATGAGAGCCGTTAACGGATGGTCGTCACCGTCGCCACTTTTTTCATTGTGAAGAACAAGACATTTGTTTGTGGCTGGTGCATGCGCGAATGCAGAAGTTCTACGGAAGCGTTTACGAGAACAGAAGAAGACGAAGAAGAAAAGGTACACTCAGCAACAGCTGGGGCAGTGGCGGCGACGGAAGAGCAAAAAAGAGGAAGACGCCGAAGAAACGGTGAGTCGAATTCATACTGGTCCCTTCCGTCTTCTTTGCTTAAAGGCCACAAGTAGTAATTTGTTGCTATAGAGAAAGTAGTGCTAGATTTTCCGAGATGCGCTAGCGAGTTTCAATACACGCGGAAACACCATAAAACCAATATGTGTGTGCGGCGGTAAAGATCACTAGATCATGTGCGTGCGTTTTTCGAAAGAAGAATTCGGGACAGATAGTGTCCCAGGCCAAATCGATTGTCGTAGCTATTCTCGTTGTGTGATATGATATGTATATCGTAGGGTTCGCGTATATGCATGTCGGTGGCGACTGCTGGCGTCGAGAAGGGAGGCCCGAGCGAGTGCCTGATCGCCCGCCTTCAACGAAACGCGACGAACTCAACTGCACAATACCTAGAGTCTGTTTTCTGTCCAGAACAATGGCCGACTAGCTGGCGCAACTCTCCGGTTGTTGTTAGGTGGTTGACTGCCTCTTGTCAGGCGCATAAGCTGGCGCACATATAGATTTTTTTTGCTCTTGACAATACTTATCATTACCATCAAGCACTAGCACCGTTAGCACATTCTCTCTTTCTTTATGACAATGTGTTTCCCTACTTTCCCTATACGTGTTTGTGTGCATCATGTGCTTATTCGACTAATGACAAACAGGTAGGTGGTATCATGTCTTACGTGCGACGATATGAACCACTATCTGAGAATCGTTAGACACGCTAGTAATGATGTTATCGTTCATGTTTGACTAGGGTGGCGTAAACAGCTAAGGGGATGGGCGGGTCCATGGCAAGGTTTACATGGACACCCATGCCCATGAACGTATTGTAATATACTAGCCACAAGTAAGACCTAAACCCAAAAAAAGATAGGGACTGCCATAGACGGGTTATCGATAATAGTTGAGTTCAACGATGTTAAAATCTTTCTTGCGTGTATGAAGCGACTAGAACGGCGACTGACGCGAACGAGGTCTGTTTATCGAAACTCTTCCTCTCTTCTCCTCTGTGTACACGTTCTTGTCTTATAGGCAGCATTCGTTTATAGAGATCAGTTCCTAGTCCCTGACGGAGTATGGGTGGTAGGGATGTTGTTGGGATAGCATTTTCTTGGAACTTGTCTATGGGGCAATAAATAAACAGTAAACCTACGCTCTCTACATTATTTGTATAGGCTTCTCATTTGTAATCAATTTATACCGAAGGATTTTCGCATTATACAATATAATAATAATAATTGTTCATAATAGACAAAGCCTGCGGAATATACGAAGCTAGAAATCTTGCTGAGACGAATGCTGATAATATACGGACGGGTAAAGGAGCATGCAAGAGCTTTACGGTCAGGTGTTTTTTGTCGGCAGGTAGCGTTCTCACCGCCAGCTGACTCTGTGACCGTTGAACGTCGCTGTTCTGATGATTGTCTGAATGACTTGCATTAGCAGCAGCGACACCGGGCCCAGAATCAGTTTGGTTCGGTCCGTCGCTCGTCGCAAAATCGACTGGTCAGCCGCGGTATGCGAAAGCACCGCTGATGAAACGCGAGTTATTGCCGACGCCGTGGAGAAGATCCATTAGCTGGTCCGTCCGAGCTGGCGGCGATGATGACGGTGACGCGCTCGCAGAAGCCACAACAGCTGCTGTTGCCGCCATTCAAACTTTACATACGTACGGATATATGCTAAATAAAAACGGAGCGCGACATTGTAGAGACTTCCGAGCAATACAAATACGCGCACTCGGTCACACCAATCTCGCCTATCGTTTCGATGCGTTCTATTGGCTGCCAGTTCCGCCGGCGACGTAGTTCAGTTTTTGTTAAAAATGGAGAGAACGACGATAGTTCGACATCAATTATAACACCACCACTAAACAGGACCGAACTGTATTGAAACAAGTAAGTCGAATAAAACCGGCTAATGACGAAAAACGCCAGGACCACGGACATCGAACGAATTTCCCTTGTAGAGTCCGAGCCGCTGGAAAGCGTTGATTACGACGGCAGATCCCAACAACACAAGTGGCAACGGTAGCAGACGGGACCCACCGATCTGTCAGGAGTACGGTGCGCCATTTGCAGCTAGGCCACAACTGCCCTTGTCTGTGCTGTTGAATGATCGAATCTGACTGAGGTGGTACGCATAGGCAAATAGCATGGCAGTTCTAACGATGTTTAAATCGTTTTAACGCTTTACGTCACTTGCTAACTGGCAGGCTCTGACGGCAAACGCACCGAAGAAGAGTTCGCCATTTTATCATTGTCGCTGTCGGTATTGTTACAGTTGATGTCGGAGCTGTCACCACGAGCGATCTCTAATGCTGCTATTTATTGTTCGATTCGGCCGATCGCCTCAGGTTTAGCCACTTTGCTTCGCCCAACGCCTTAACGGCCACCGGAGCTTTACCCAACGCCCGTCCGTTTTCAGCAGCTGCCGCCGTCTTCCATCGGAAGCGATAAATCAGTTGTTATCGTTCATTGAATCTGTAGTTATAGAAATTAATCATGCCAAGTAGAATACGGAGTCGTTGTAGAAGTCTATATAAATATACATATATATATATATATATAGACTATAGGCGTATAAAAGCATACGCCACATCAGATGTCTTTATTAATAGCAAAAAAATTACAGGCGTAGTAATAGCGGCGGCAATCCAAAATGTGGTGATGACTGTGGTATTTGCTACCTCGGTATAGCACAAATATTATTGTACGTTGGAAAGGCGTCTTGGACAATACTACAACTAAGACTGTTTCCAGGCTCATTGCTTGACAAGAGAAGCCTGTGAGGGAATCTCGACATTGCTATTGTCTCCTCCCTCTCTCGTCCTTGCTTCGTCCTTTCTTGTTCTCTGCTCCGTTGTACTGCACTCGATCGACTGCTATTTCTGCATCGGTGTTTTTTTTTTTACTGTGCCTTTGTTATCAGTGTCCAATGCTTATGTCTCCTCGCGTATTATCGTTACTTGCAGCTGTTATGGTATACGGGTAGAAACAAGCATAGCGTCGTTTGTTGCGTATACCTTCATGCACGTATTATGTAGCCTGCCGTTCTCCGTGCACTTTGCCTTTTTTTTGTTCATTAATGGACTGCACAAAAGCCATAGTATTATGCCATGTTGGTGAAACTGTAGTACGTGTACTCGCGCAATGATGTTGGTGTGATGGCGGACTGCTAGAGCACGCCCTTTCGTTCGGCCAACAACCACGTACGAAGCTGTGTGTGCAAACCTTGCGGGACCCCCGTCCCTATTCGTTGTGTATGGTGTACATATACCATCGGTGTCTGAGACTAGGCCATTGGGGTTGCGGCTTCACCGACCAGACGAGATCAGATTTGCTTATTAGAGCTGCTAGCTGGACTTCAGGAAACGCCAGCCATCGCAGCAGATACTCTGCTCAGATGGCTTGCTCATTCCATGAGGGCTGGCTGCCATACGAAGACTGCTTGAGCTTTAGCTGCTTGGCTGCTCTGGGTGCAGCATGGGACAAGATCGAACGGAAACGCAGGCGAGGACTTAAGTATGTGTGCGGGCAGTGCGGGTTCTCACTGCGCCGCCGCCACACTCCACCCACCTCTAGCAGACGATATGAGCATCATAGAAGGTACTGCGGTGCAATACGAAAGGAAACATGGTGGCAAACGAGCGTTGGAAACAATAAAACTATAGATGTGACAAGTAATGGGCGACTCGGTGTTGGAGGTGTCGCATAAGTCAAAAACTTCTCTTTAGCTATTGGAGCTTTTAGTGCTTAAACGGAGCTTACAATACAGGTGTTTTTTTTTCTCTATAGAAAGGCATCAAAAGACTCTCACTCCCAGAGTTCATATGGGTATATTTGATCAAGCTTTCGGAACTTCGAACAACATGAACTCTTGAGTGACTTCTGATGCCGAAATACTCTTTCAAAACAAAATCTTCGTGCGCCACGTCGGTGAAATATTATATATTATTATTAAAATTATATATATATATAAGCTGCAAAGGATTTTGAAGCTTGGAGTCACGGTAAAAATACTTTGCCCGTGACCAACTCGAAAGTCTTGTTGTGTCACCCTTTTTTTGAAGGTCACACACACTTGCACAGTGAAGTAGGAACTGCTACTCTACTACTACTTACTAAGCGTGTACTTTACTGATGAGAACTGAAAGAATCTTGTTTGTGTTCATAGGGAAATTGTTTTGCTTTGGAGCATGCATTTTTATCTACCACAGATGGTTCTCTATTCTCCCGCTTTAGTGCATTTGCCGTTTCTGACGCACGGCTTGTGTCGTGGTATGGCACTGGTTTGTCAATTTAGTGACTAACTTCACTCTTGTACCGCGGGATGAGCCAGAGTTCTTTATAGACTCACCAGCCACACGCGACCCGCTAGACTACTTTTTACGCGTCGTCGTTAAATCTACGAAGACAATATGTTTTTACGTGATGTTTATTTGTGTTAAAGTGGAAATCTGCTGCGTCTAACTCGGACCTTTATACGTGCCCTCACGTGATTACCGGAGGTTGAGGGTTTTTTTTCAATCTTGGCCTTTTCATTATACGCGGACATGCAACGTACATTTGTGAGCAGATTAGCTAATGCATGTTAACAGACATCGACGTCATACAAACAACTGCCATCGGGTGACTTGTTTTCGATTCGGGACCAAAACTTACATGATATCCACGAAACAAAAGACGAAAAGAACCCTATCATGAACGTCGGAGCTAGTCTTCACTAGTTTTCGTTTAAATCTTTTTGTCCTCACCCTTTTTGACACCATATTTTGGTGCGTACGCAAATTATTTTCCAACAACACTATTTCACGTATGTAAACTTACGCTCTGTATTCATATATAAATGCACAAACGTACATACATGTATACATACACATACATACGTGTATACATATACATACATCGATATATACACAAACATACATACATATATACATACACATACAATGGATTCCAGATCGGCGCTGCTTACCATTGGCATGTTTTCTTTCCTCACCCCTACACGAC